ATATAGGCTATTTAAGAATATAGATACAGCTATGGTAATTTCTGTCAACCTACGTCTACTTTCTATTGCAGGCCACGTGAAACAATAACAGACCACCCGATGGTAAATGGATGCTGTGTCCATATACTTCTACATCTATCCTCGATCGTTAAGATGAAATGCCTCGTTTCCAGTAAACTTCAGGTTATCTACACTCATCTTATGAAACACAGCAAGCACTATTAAGCTGATATTTTACTCTAGTATTCTGTGAGGGCGTGGTCCTACCCCGGTCGAGTCGGTCGGTTCTTATTCTCCCGATCACAAAAAACGTCACCCAATATTATGTATTAGTGACTTTTTTTAACAAGTTATCTCAAAGGCTGGAGAGAGGAGGAGCCGCTATGAAGTCTTTGCCCCGGTTCAAAAAAATCGTAGATCCGGGGCTGCCAAAACCATCATCTTCTCATGATTATTTCTTTCTTCATCGTCCAAAATCTTGAGATGTAAGATGTATTTATAGACGTGTGTTGGAAAACTATTATAAATAATGCGTAGTAAAATAACCATTTTCATTAGTACATGTTTATTTTGTGTCATGAAACAAGAATTTTGAAAATCATATTAATTATTAATCAATAAAAGTTTAGGCCGAACACAATAGGTCGGACTTTATGACATAGGCCACGTCAACAAAATTGTGAAAAATTACAATCAAATTAAAAATTACAACAAACGACTATCAAACAAAAAAAAAATAAAAAAACAATATTCAATAAATTACTTACTAAATTCAAAAAAAAAACTATTAAATTTACAAATTAAACTCGATTACACGTAATTTGGAAATAATAAAAAAATCGTCGATACTTATGTAAAATATACATTAAAGTCTATACACAATTATATCAACAGTAAGTGTTATGCAAAAAAGTGCGCTCATTGTCATATCATTTATATTTTTTACTAACAGTTAAAACGAACAGCAGTTATGCAATTATAAACCTTATTACTTTCAAATATTTTAGGTACTTATAAATAATTATTTCATATCATAAACATTTTATAAATCCTGAACTAAAAAATTCAATTATTAAATGCGAAATGAATGCTATTATGTTAAGAAAATCATGTTGTTTTTTCCCCGTATACAATGCTTTGATAAAAAGAAAATTCGATATCATTTTATATTACATTAATTACATCTTTAAGCATACAGAAATAAGGTATTTAATTGCTTAAATACTCGAACAAATTGGCCATGGAAGCGACTTGGTCAAAATTTTATAATTACATAATTGTAGCTCCTATGGACAATTTACAATCTACGGTCCACTTTATTTACTACCTCTATTTATTTTTAGTTGATACTTTTGTAGCTTTACAATTAGCCTCTTTATCGATGTTAAATTACTTCGCGTAAAATAAGGAAGGCTATGCATATAATTTTCATAGATAATTAAACGTGTTTTAACTTCGTTATGTATTTCAAAAAGTATTGCCACTAAGTATAATTACCACAGCTGATTATTTTAGGGTATTTAAGATTTTATATTACATAATTTTCGTGCAAATAATATTTACACAGAAAGCTGGTAACAAATCTTTGATGATAATGTACCTATAAAAAGTTAAAAGCTTAATTCAGCTAACGTATAAATAAAACTTATATTTTTAAGTGTTGAGGTTCCGTACGATCAGCTCGACTAGATCATTTCAAATGAGCTTGCTACTGTTCATTTTCTATAGTTTTTGTCAAGTACGAAATCTCAAAATATTGCAACGCCAAAAACATTCAAACTGTTGTTATGTACAATCATTACAGTACAATATACAAAAATGCCTAAAATGTAACTAGGTATAATATATGATATTGAGTAGGCTTTCATATTTTGTATATTTTTCTAAATACATCCATGATTAATATAACGCACCTAAGTCATACTAAATGTAGGGTAGCATTATTCATAGTGGAAATGGTCGTAACTTCTCTTTACCCGTCTATGGCAAAGGAATGGGGGTTATCAGCAGTCTATTCATAGTATATGAATATAGTTATTATCTTGTATCATGACTTTGGTTAAAGATGTATTACAAACTGAACGAATAAAACACGTTAAATAGAGCAAGTACACTATCAGTTAAGGCTTCAATTTAATTTTAACTTCAAACATTGTTTTTATATTTATAGCTTAGTATATGCAATATTATTAAATATAAGTTATTGAGTTTCACATTTACTATATTAATTCCTAAATTTTTCGAATTTGGCTAAACTTAGATATAAAGAAATTGAAAACAACATAATTGTATGTAATGAATACAGTAGTTTTTGTAATAATTATTGTTTTCTACATTGAAAGTGGGTAGGTTGGTTTTCAATGATAAAAGAATTACACGAAAATGAGATGCTTTAAAAATTTACATAAAAAACATTTTAAAGAGATTACTTCAAGTTATTCCTGTTTTTACATCATGTTACAGTTTATATTAGCTATTTTTTTAAATACATTAGCGTGCTAACTAAACACTTATCTATTTAGCACAATAAAAAACCACTTGAGATTCGTTGAAATTCTTATCGAAAATTGTCAGTCTAATGAAGTTCGTATAACCACCTATTGATAGTAACTTGCTTTGGACTTATACAGCTATATAGCGGTGTAATACAATTATTGTGGTAAGCTTAAAATTAATATAAAAAGAAGACATCACAAATAATCCAAAAGTAAATTAAACAAGTAGTAAAATTAAAAATTTTGTACAACCGACTTCAATATAAATACAATGAGAACATCACCAATGTAGTCGAAGTCAATTAAATACGCATTATTAAGGATAACTCAAAAACTACTACTGATCAAATTTATTTGGGACCATATGAGAATTACCAGTTTTCAAATAAAAAAAGAATTATCAAAATCCAACAAGAAAAAGTTCTGGGGTAACACACATAAAAAAACCGAATTAAGTACCTCCTCCTTTTTTCGAATGCGGTTAAAAAATCTTACTCGTCGTGAGGCCAATACTAATATATTTGTATCTGTACAAAGTAAAAAATATATGTTTGGAAACATACTTTCTGGAATATCAGGTTACAAAGTTGATTCCAGGTTATAAAACAATGAAGCAAAGATTTAACGCCTATATTTTGGTTTCTGTTATGTACCTTACTGCTACGTTGTCATCCTCTACATAGCGATTAATATACCCTGCACATAATGTGCACACGCTGATATTTCTAGTGACAGTTATTATTTTTTTCTAATTGACATAAAATCGTCATTATCGAAGATGTATACAACGGAAATATTTTTTTTTATTTCATTCTAGTCTGACCAGAAAAATAAAAAGCCGGCCAAGTGCGAGTCAGACTCGTGCATGAAGGGTTCCGTCCATCGTAAGACATGTTTTGTAGAAGGGGAGTCCCCCCCTTAAAGTTTTAATTTCTATTTATTTTTATAAAATTCAACCGTCTACCTATTACGGATCATGAGATGCAGCCCGCTGACAGACAGACGGACGGACAGCTGTGGCTTTTAGCTTTAGGCTTTTTTTAGTTAGGGATAACCCTAAAGGCCGTATAATGTGGCACTATTGAGCTTTTTATAACTATTTCTATACCAACTACTATAGTCATGTCAACGTAAACTGAAAATGTTTGATATTTGAGTATTCGTGATCGAGGACTGAACTATATGGTTTTATTAACGTATCTAATTTAATTAAATTTGACAGAATCACATACTTGATCAAATGAAATTAGTATCGTAAAAAGAGCCGCAGTATGAGGTGGATTACTATAACGACAATAATGACATGAGAAACAAGTTTTTACACTTATCTATATAAATAAAATGATAGAGGTTTCCAGTTGTGCGCGCATCACGGAAAAACTACTGGATAAAATTCAATTAGGTTTTCTAGTTTTCTTAGACACGGCCCTTATCTAAAAAAAATATTGCGATATCTTCTTTTATAAAGTTAATCGTTTTAAGAAATAACGATTTCGTAAGCAAAGTATATTCTTACTTGCGATCTTTTTGATGTTTTTTCCTTCGCACATACGTAAACTTTGTTAATATATCAAGCAACGCGGACGAAGTCGCGGGTATCAGCTAGTTCTATATAAAAATCAAAAATCTTTGGATATGATTGCACTCTAGTTAAATAACAAAATGTATTTTTTAACAAATATTTTTGAGTAGCAAAGAATAATAATTTATATAAGGAATTATAATTCATAATTCTATTTTTAATAATTATTTTATTAGTAATTAATATAATAATAAGATAAACAATTTCGGGAAGGTGCTCTTCAAATTATGTATCCTAAGCAAATTAACTCTCTGGTCTTTAAATGCAGTACCGACTTAATTACTAAAATAACTTAATTCTGTACTTGTTCTATCTAAGCGTGACTGTGGCTTACATTAATGTGGTGCGTACAAATTATAACATTAAATTTTAACATTTCATTCAATTATAATGTTTAGTTCATTAAATTATAACATTTTGGTAGATCCTCAAAGTAAATATAGATTTAGATTCACTTTTATGTATTGCTATTTTATTGCCCAGTATGGGTACTTATTAGACAATAATCGCAATATAAGCAATATTTTTATTTTCCTGGTCGGGCTAAACTCAAGTTTCGTCACTAAAATATCAACCTGTACATGGCTACATCTAAATCGGCGTTTTTACTGTAAATAATACATTCACACATCGAGATTCGAGACCAAGCAATCGCTTCAGCTACCGTCCAAAATAAGGCAGGCAATGAACACTAACTAATAAAACTAAAGCCAATTATATAAAAAAGGCTAAATCGTTAATCGCTACAAAATATGAGGTATATTTAGAATTATTCATATCCCTTCGATAATCACCAGCACTTTCTAATCATTCATATTTACTCGCAAAACCCTTTATTACCGCAACCAACTCTACAAGTGTGAGTCGCAAATACTAATCTATTAACCTAAAAATAGAGTCCAATATCACATAGCTATTTAAGATCACGCTACGCCACTATCTTGAGTGTGGCTTCTCTTCTTTTCACTTCTGTGGTGATCTGGGGTCGATTTTAATATATCTGGTTGACCATGGGACAACACTCTGGCTTCCACGTGTTGGTTGAAAGTGGACGTATGGGAGCTTAGGGTCAATGTTGCGTTCCTCTCCGAGCCCAGGGTCATTGTAGTGGCGTGAGAGTTTAACGTGTTATGCCCGGTCGTGTGGTGGGTGTGATGGGATTGACTTAAATGGTGGGTGTGGGGAAGAGTGGAGGGGCTCGAATGTGGGAGGGTGGAAGTCGGTTTCCGTATGGAGCGGTGGCTTCCGTTGCGCGTTAGGGAGTTCATCTGGGGAGTGCCAGGTGCCCCTGTTCGGAGCAAGGCGTTTTTGTAGTCCGCTATGAGGTGCGTTAGTTCCACCATCTGAAAGTAAAAATATTTTTAGGTATAAGACTTTAAAATACATATTTTTAAAGTCTTATTTAGCCGTGTAATGACGGCGTAAGATACACAGCTAATCAGACCGTACGTGTTGTAAGAGACGGCAGAGAGAAACTTAATCATATGTTCTTGAAATATTAAATTGCGCAAAAATTCAGGTTTAGTCACGATGTTTCCCTTCACCGCCGAGCAAGTGTTCAACCAAACCTCAATATTGCAACTAACAATCTTATTGGTGCCGGCGGGGATCGTACCCAGACATAAAATATAATAATAATTAATATACGAAATATACATATATCATTGAAAATTTTACAAATAACCGCCTTTGTAGTGTAAACGATTAAACGAAGCATTCCATCTTAGTTCTCACGGGTGACAACGCATCTGCATTTTGATTTTTAATCGAAAATAGATGGAGATGTCTATGGACCATTGCGTTTAATTCACCCTCTCCTTGTATAAAAACATACCATATACTTTTTGCTCATACACTATATTGTTTCTTTTAATTATACACTAACTCTAAAATAAATAAATCGGGCTAACTCCAAAATAATATGATTACGGTTCCATTTAGTAATTCTTGGTAAAAAATATAGTTCTATACTTTTGAAAAACAACGGAACTTACTTTTGGCTTGTTCAGGCTGATAAGCATTTTGTGCACAGGACTCGTTGCGTCTTCCGCGTCGATTAGCATCATTAAATCGTCCTATATAAAGGAACAATATATTTTAGAGATGAATAACATAGAAACATCATTTATTCTGTACAGTTGCATCTATGTCAATGTTTCTGACTGATCGATAATGCCTAATTATGTATTAAGTAAATAGGTATATAAGAACAAAAATATTTCGAAGACATGTCGAGGTTCACCAATACGCATTGGGGCAGCGCGGCGGACACTTCCTCGCCCTAAAACCCTTTCAGAAATGAGAGGAGGCCTGTGCCCAGATATGGTACGTATAAAAGCTGTAATTTTAACTTTAAGCATTAAGCTTCCCCTTTGTATCCTTTTGTTACAAGGAATGCAGTAAAGATGAATAAATAAAAGAGTATATGTTTTATTGGACCTAATGTAGGAGAAATCTATTAAAGGCGCATTGGTGTAAGAATAATTAGACTATTTATAAATATAAATAGACGTTAATTATTATCATAGCGTCAGTTTAAATTTATATGAGAACAAATCTAAGTGGGTTAAAATAACCTTTGTAATACGTTGTAACATTACACACATTAAAATAAAGAAATCCAAGCCCAATTAATAACCTCCTTCTTTGAAGACGATTAAAAACAAACATAAAATTTAAGGAAATTTGTAGGATTTTTTATAGTGAAAGACGTTTAAATATAATAAGACCAAATCTTGAAAACAATATTAAAGCCATAAATTAACGAATACAGAAAAAAATGTTGCTCGGTGCCTGAGGGACAAAACTTGTTGTTGATGCTTAATTTGGTTGTTAAGGGTTATAATTGTAAATGCAATTGTAGCCATGTTTAATTTTAGTTTTGTTAGTATCATCTTAGTGTAATGTAATAAATAAGGTAAAGTCCGGAGAAATCCGTGAGGTGTGGTGACCTGCAGTCCGCCGAAGAGTCCGATGCAGTTGAGCGCGTAGCGCGCGATCACGCTCATGGAGGCCAGCTCCAGCACCGTCACGCCCTCCTCCGACACGGCCAGCCACACCAGCGACAGGTCCGGCTGCTTTATCTGATAATGCCAACACACGTCCAACAATCAGGGCTAATCATTTACCACCCGCCAAATGTCGCTAAATGGGACTGAGGTAAAGTAAACACAATGCCACTTTAAGTAAAAAAATTTTACAAAACGTTTGTACAAAACAATTCCTCAACAATGGTTGCTTTTTTGTATTTTTTTTCACTTTTTAATGTTTTTACTTTCAGGAATATCTAATCTATCGAATATCTAATTAATATAAAATACTACTAATATATCAGAAAGAAACATTAAATTTTATATTTTCCCTAACAATTTAACTTTTCCACTGTGAAATCTGCCAAATATTTCACCTCTTTCCAAAGTGACGACGCCCTGGTGACAGAAAAAGTGGATACCCTCATTCATTTGTACTGCTGGAATGCTGTACAACCAAATTCATTATGCGATAATTATTGTAATATGGTTAATAATTTTTGTATAAAAACCACGCGTTTATAAAACTTTATTTCTTACTATTAATTAGGTGCTAATAAATTTTAAGCCTTTGGATTTACGCCATTTTAGTTCCAACTTGGTTATATCATGAATATATTCTGAGTTTTAAAGAAATTCTTTAATTTTTTTTATATAGAATAAAGGTGACAAACGAGCACACCTGATGGTAAGTGGTTGCTGTGGCCCATAGACATCTACATCTATCTTCGTTTCCGAATTAAAATGTAGATGCGTTGTCAGCCGTAAGAACTAAGACAGAATTCCTCTTTTCCAGTAAAATGGGTCTCCGGTTCATACAAACACAGCAGCATTAAGCTGCTATTTCACGCCGGTATTCTGTGAGAGCGTGATCCTTCCCCGATCGAGCCGACTCATTCGTGGTACAACTATACTATTAATATAGCTGCAGCATGGTTCTAGAACGTAATTTCAACTGGCGTAAATAAAATGTCCGTTATAGTAAAAGAAATTAAATGTGTAAGGTAATCAAATATTCTTGAATTGGTTTAAGAGCATCAGCCTTACATCAATGAACTTACAATACACTATCATGTACTGGACATAGGCTTCTCCTTAGAAATATTTTTTATATGACTATCATGCTTTTCAATCAGGTGGGTAACCGCAATACCAGACGTACATCAAAACACAAATACATACGTATAGTGTTGCCAGGTGCATTGTGTCAAATTTCGGGACAGAAGGGAAAAATAATCGGGAATTTAGTTTTCAAATCGGGATAGCTACAATGACTACAAAATAACGTAGTAGATACCACCACATTTTACGTGGTGGAGCCATGCTGCAGCTGTATTATGGTTGTAGCAAAAATGATCCATGCACGACCGGTAAAGGACTGCGCTCTCACAGTATACCACCGTAAAATGGTATCTTTATGCTGCTGTGTTACGTATGGTGGTAGAGACCCGGAGACAATTTTTGCTGGAAGCGAGGCGTTTCTCAAGGGTGACAACGCATCTGGATTTTGATTCTTAGTCGAGGATTGATGTAGATGTCTATGGGCCGCAGCACCTACTTACCATCACGTGGACTGTGTGCTTGTTTGTCACCCTTATTCTTTATAAAACAAGTTTTGCAGCTATTTTAGCCGCCATCAGTTATGACACAATGCGCTTTGCACAGTGCTTTATAGTGAACTGGTGGTAGGACTTTCCCACAAGACTTTTGCATTTTACTTAAATTACTGATTTAAACAGCAGCATATAATTTAGGTACAGTACTGATTACTAGTAAATTATTATTATTTTACTAGTAATTAGTACTGCATTATTAAAATAAATGATCGTGGAATTGACGACGTTGATGCATAGCACGATGGAGCGGGCGACATCAGATCAGGTGGCGATAGAAAAAAGCGTATATACCGTACCGTATATGATATCTGTATCTCGCCAATACAAAAATATTTTCTCGCCCAATATACGCGAAGTTTAGGACTTTACAAAATATGTAAATTTCAAACCAAAAATATTTCAATGTAGTAACAGCTTACAGATATATTCATTACTAGCTGTTCCCCACGACTTCGCTCGCGTGTTATTTGGTTAATTCTTTTTCTAAAATAAAAGTAGCTTAAGTACTACTCCTTGTGACATCAGCTATCTGCCAGTGAAAATCCCGTCAAAATCGGTCCAGCCGTTTCGGAGATTAGCCGGAACAAACAGACAGACAGACAAAAATTTTTAGTACCGTATATACTTTCATATGTATTTAGTAAAACGCTGTAATTTTGACATTACAAACAGACACTTCAATTTTATTTATTTGTATAGATTGGTGTTAATATTATTGATCAAAGCAGAGGCTTATGGAGTTAATGAAAAATCGGGACACTTGGGAACACTATATACGTATAAAATATTTTTGTTAAATAATGCTTTAATACTTCAATAACTAACCCTAGCCTGGAAGAGCGTGGCACCAAAGAAAGGCCATTTCCTTGTGCAATTGAGGTAGATTCGCACGCAGTCCGCTGTACTCCGACCCTTTAGCGCGAGCCATTTTGACTTGAGCTTCTCTTCGACATCCCTAAAACAATAAATTCAGGTTATTGTTTCTTTTAGTATTACCAAAGAAACGATTATAACAAATTAAAATCTCTATTTGTAAAAATCAATTGCTGTCCGTTAGTCTTGCTAAAACTCAAAAACGGCTCGGCCGATTTTTATGAAATCACTAGCTGTTCTGTTAATTTAGTGTTTTAATTTTGTTGCACGGAATCCTAATTACTTTTCAAAAATATAAGTAGCCTAAGTTACTCCTTATAACATGAGCTATCTACCATTGAAAGTCCCGTCAAAATCGGTCCAGCCATTTCGGAGATAAGCCGGAACAAACAGACAGACAGACAGACAAAAAAATTAAAAATTGTGTTTCTGTTATTGGTACTGTATATACTTTTATATGTAATTAGTAAAAAGCTGTTATTTTGACATTACAAAGAGACATTTCAATTTTATTTATTTGTATAGATGTATAGATTTGTGTGCTTGAATGGGTCTCTAGAAGCTTTACATTCACATTTGGACCCGGTAGGTGGCGCCGTTGTGCCGGTGGCTAGTAGTTAAGTAATAAAAAGGATGAGAAATCTATATATTTTCCAGAAACAGCAAGTGAACTATTATGTCACAAAGTTTCTTCGCAAAGGTCCATAGTACACGTAGATGTCTGGTAATTCGCTTTAAACTAGCTTTTCAGAGTAGAGTACGTTTTGTGTTTCGAAATAATTTTATTCAGAATACCAGCATTAAACTGCTACCTTACGCTTGTATTCTGTGAGAACGTGGCGTTGTCCTTCTTCAGTCGTGTTATACTATAGTATGATTGTAAGCATCAATTGTAATGCTATATAAACTACAAAGGAATAGCTATCAAATCTGTAACCTTTCTCATTTAAAATTGGCTGCAGGTGTCCATGTACCGCAGTAGCCATTTAACATTGTGTGGTCTGTAAGTATTACGAGTATAAAACTAAACAATGAAGAATTTATATGTATACTAGACCAGTAAATCAGTACAAAAACTGTTTTAAAGTTGTGAATTGCGAGAGCGCGTGCTCGGGCTTTTAGTTGCCACGGTAAATATGTCACGCAGTTGTATTTTCATTTACGACAGTTAAAGAGTTTTTGGGCAAATACAAAATAGTGTTTGTGTTTGTTGACAAAGTGTGCATACAAATAATGACAGTGTTTTTTTTAGTTACATTATTAGTTGTTAGATTGGCGAAAACAATGTTCCCGGTTTAGCAATACAAAGAACAAATAACAAGTGTTTGTAAACAAAGAACGACTGTTTTAGCCCGTTCGCAATCTACTAAAAAAGTTAGGTAGAATAAAAAAAAAACTAGTAATGCCAATAATATTACTAATATTTTCTTTAACTACTACTAGTAAGTTGAAAAGCGTGTGGAGTGATTCACGACAGTAGTCGAATGGCGGATTCGAACTCATAACCTTTTTTTTATAGGAGAGGGGACAAATGAGCATGCGGCTCACCTGATGGTAAGTGACTACCGTCGCTCATGAACAACTGCAACACCAGGCGAATTGCAGATGCGTTGCCGGTCTTTAATAAAGGAGTAGGCTCTTTTCTTGAAGGTCCCCAAGTCGTATCGGTCCGGAAAGCTTACAGCTCCGTAAATCGCTGGTGGCAATCGATTCCACAAGGAAGTTGTGCGAGGAAGAAACATCTTCTAAATCGCACAGTGGTGGACCGCCAATCATCCAGATGGTGTGGATGGTATTACGAGTTCGCCGTCCGCACCCTGCCATTAGGCTACTGACGCTTAAAACGTAACTTAGTGTGCAATGTATAAGGCGCCAGAGCCCGTCCAGTAGTAAAGACAAAAGTGTTGTGAATGCTGTGTTACCGCAGCTGTTCGTTGGTGAGGCCGGCGCGGTAGCGGTAGGGGTAGAAGCGGTGCGCGAGCGGCTGCGAGTGCGCGCAGTGCGGCGGCGTGCAGTCGCCCGCGTCCAGCTGCGCCATCAGCGCGCCCAGCTCCGCCGCCAGCTCGCGCGTCACCGGGAACCGCCCCGCCACCACTGCACCAAACACATGCACTAACGTACCCAAATACTGCTCCCACGTACGCAACCTATGCTGCACATCATATGCAACGAAATCACACGCTTTCGACGCGACGTCAATCTGCGATAACCAAGTCAACGTGGAAAAGTAGAGGGAATGTTCGTACGTCCATTCTCTCGCGTACAACCAGTATATTACAACTAGAACCTACGCGAAATACGTCACAAACAAATAGAACTTTGTCCGTAAACGCGTTTTGTTGTCAAAATGGTAGATGATTAGTCAGGTGTAGTTATAATATTAAATGTGTTTAATATCACGATGCTACATTACGAAATACATCATGGGAAGAGATAACAAAACGACATGATAAACCTAACGAGTACCTTTACCTTAGTAGGTGTTACAATCTTTTTTGTTATTAACGTGAAAACGAGACGTCGAGGCGCAAAATAAAGAAAAAGTATTGTGTATTTTAATTCCAATTACGATTAGAGATATATTCCACTTTTTCACTAGTGGGACAAAATGGACTCACTAACACTAATCGTTTTTTGGTCGGACAAATTACACTGTTATAATAAACCTCGTCCACTTTTCCCCCCTAGGACTGGCATAAGCAAATTCTAAGATTTTAAAGTATGTTTAAAAAAAAAAGACAAATTATTGATTGTACGGAACACCTTTAAATTATATAAGAAAAAATGATTTTAATTAAACTGATAATGATATTTATACAAAATTGACCAAAAAAAAAAGAACTTCATCAAGGAGAAGCCATGATATGGAATCCTAGAAATTGGTCTATAAATATTAAGTAGGTATAAAGTCGTAGCAACGAGACGTACGTTATCCATGTTTAAAAGATCTACGTTGAACGAATACAGACGAATATTATACAAACGCGTCGTACTCGTCTACGAATAACTCGGCGAGTTGCTAGTCAGATAATCTAAACGTGCCATCATAATAATGTCTCAGCGCCGATTTTAAACTTTAAACACGAATTTGTTTGTTAGCGGGAGGGGAGCGGTAGCGTTTGGTAGGTGATGAGTGCGGGTCTTTTTAGTCGCTATGTCACAGTGGTGTTTTCGCTGAGGGTAGCACAGCACAAGTTTTGTAATCGCTATGAAATCCGCCGTTTAAGTGATGCCCCGAGTATTCAATTAATTAAGTCGTGGGTAAAAAAGTTCAGAGCGACAGGATGTTTACTGAAAGATTAAATTGGCACTCGAAATAGACCTGTTCGATCGATTGAAAACATCGACCGCGTCGCCACTGCGGTCGCAGAGCATCCACGAAGATCAGTTAGAAAACGTGCTGGCTCTTTGAATCTCCATCTTTCAAGTATTCAACGAATTTTGGCCTTAGACTTAAAATTACATCCATATAAAATCCAAATAGTTCAAAAAATCAAACCAGAACACCACAACAAGCGAAACATTTTCTGTCAGATGTTAGAGATTTTTTCAGAGGAAAATGGAATGGCCAATGTTTTTTTTTAGCGATGAGTCACACTTTCACCTCGAAGGGTACGTCAATCGCCAAAATTGCCGTTACTGTTCATCCAGTAATCTAAAACAAAAACATCAGAAGGCAATACACAGTCCCAAAGTTACTGTATAGTGCGCAATATCGACGAAGAAAATCATCGGGTATTTTTCTTCGAGAATGATCGAGGTGCAACGGTTACAGTGACGAGCGAGCGGTATATCGACATAATTAATAAATTTTTTGTACCGCAGCTGCAAGAAGAGGATGTTGACGAGTCCGGTGTATGGTTTCAGCAAGATGGGGCCACAGCCCACACTACTAGGGTCTCCACGGACACACTAAAAGCGTTGTTTCCGGAAAAAATCATAACCCGCTTTGGAGACATATTGTGGCAACCCAGATCTCCCGACTTAACCCCAGCTGACTTTTTTTATGGGGGTTATCTCAAAGCAAGAGTTTTTGATACCCCTCTTACGAATTTGAAGCAGCTGAAAACTAAAAATAACGACAGAAGTGAGGGCCATATCAGTTGACGTTCTGCAGCGTGTTTCTACAAATTCGTTAGTCCGTTTTGAAGAGTGGATTCGCCGTGATGGAAGACATCTTGACGGTGTCATATTCCGTACATAAAATTCGCACTAATGTACTATAATTTACTGCAATTAAAGTATTATAAACACAATTTTTTTTATATATAAATATTCAAAGTTTAAAATCGGCGCTGGGCTAAATGACGGAATATTTGTTGCAAATATTGAAATACAAAACGAGAAAAATAAAACATTTGTCGTGATAAGTCAAAAAATTTTATAAACAATTTTGTAAATCTACGCTTTATTTTGGTAATTTTTCTTTTCTGTAATTTGCTTTGAATTTTTTTGTAAATCTGTGCTTTTATACATTTTCATAGATTCAGTTATTATAAATCTGTTATGAAAGCAATTTATTTATTATTTCATAGTCAAATATTTTATTTTACTCGTTTGGTAAACATACTTCAAAATGTTACAATTTGCTTATGCCAGCCCTAGTGGGGAAAAGTGGACGAGGTTTATTATAACAATATAATTTGTCCCACCAAGAAACGATTAGCGGGGAAAAGTAGACGAACACATTTTAAAGAGTTCGCTTTACCCCATCAGTGGGACATTTGATGGGAAAAAGTGGAATAAACCCGATTATCTAATGATTTTAAACAGGGTTATTTTGCAATAGAGAAAGAGAGAGAGAGAGAGAGAGAGAGAAATTTGCGGAGAAGGTTCAGAATAAGTAATATAGGCGAACGGTGAAGAAAAATGAATTAAAAAAATCTCAAACATTCTGTCCTTTATATCTCTTAAATTTAGAATACGCGGTAATACATTATTTTAAATGATTGTTATTCATAAATATCTAACGCCTATTTTACTACGCACGCACACATTCGTAAGGGTCGCTCGGTTACAAAATTTAAGAGTACATTGTCACATTGTTCATTGTACATTGTTCCCGCTCCTTTTCCTTACGTTAACCGTTACACCGTTGGCTCGACCGACCGCTGACAGCGTTGATTGTGACAAGTGTGCTACTGCTATTTTGAAATTTTCGTAATTAGTAGTGTCGCTTCGTTACCAATGACGGAACGAAAATATACAAACCCCGAATACTATGACAGCACTATCGGCTTCAACACCCTCGAAAACCATGAAAATGACACCCATGATGAGAAAATTTATGCCTATTGCAGCCGCCACCTTGGATTTACATTTCGACAGCACTATCGGCTTCAACACCCGCGAAACCCATGAGAATGACACCCATGATGAAAAAATTGATATCTATTGCAGCCGCCATCTTAGATTTACATTTCGACAGCACTATCGGCTTCAACACCCTCGAAAACCATGAAAATGACACCCACGATGAAAAAATTGGTACCTAATTCAGCCGCCATCTTGGATTTACATTTCGACAGCACTATCGGCTTCAACACCCTCGAAAACCATGGAAATGACACCCATGATGAAAAAATTGGTACCTAATTCAGCCGCTATCCTGGATTTACATTTCGACAACCCTATCGACTTCAACTCTCTCAAAAACCATGAAAATGACACCCATGATGAAAAAATTTATATCTATTGCAGCCGCCACCTTGGATTTACATTTCGACAGCACTATCGGCTTCAGCACCCTCGAAAACCATGAAAATGACACCCATGATGAAAAAATTGATACTACTTGCTTTTAGTACGTACTACTATTATTTATTCTGTGCTTTTAAAATATTGTAATAAAAAAAATCTCTTATTAATACTCGTATTGTAATCAAGTAATTAAGAAATTTGGTTATTCGAATATTGTGTATTCGTACAGCGATCTTTTTGAGCCGCTGCAAACAACAGAAACAATGTCCACTCACGACGGCGACTGACGCCGAACTGAGTCAGTGAGTAAACTACTCTGTGGCTGTAGCTCCCTATTTACAGAAATAATTTACATACAAGGCTACGAAATCAACGAAAATTTCGCCATTTTGGAGCCGAAAAAATTAATTATAGCTAAACAAAACAAAATTACACTGCCATTTACATTCAGTGGCTTCCCACATGATAGATGAAGAGATTAGAACATAGATTGAGTTAAACAATTGATATTTTCAAAAGTTATCGTGTTTACAAGCCTTGGGGACATGATAAATCCACACTATAAGCCACTAAAACCCCTTTTTTATTTAAAAATAGCAATTAATCGATTAAAAAAAATTAATAAGTTCAACAATCATTTATCTTTCTAACAATGTGCTTTTTATATCATTTATATGTATAATATGATTGCTAGATACGATTTTATTCGATAAACGTTGGAATCATAACTTTTAGGCGATAGTAGAACATATCTTGCGCTTTCGCTTAAGGTATGCAATATTTTTTTTTTAATTTTGTTTATTATGACGATCCTTAGTCCGTTAAGTGTGAAGGGAAAATTGGAAACATAATTCACATCGTGTAATCGTTGACTTAGCATTAGTAGTAAGCGTGTCAATAAGAAAGTAAACAGTAGACAAGAACTTGAGCAACGAAAACGTGAATTGAATCGCACACACAGGGGTACGTGTAGTTGTTGCCCATGAATCACATTCAATTTGGAATAATTTAAATTAAAAGTAGAAGCCTTATTTAAATTATAAGTAGAAGCCTTATTTACTCGTATTTTCGAAAACTCTAATATCGGTATATCATTATTTATATTACTAGCTTAAATATAAAATTTGGCTACTGTTTGAAAAATAACCCTGTATATTGCGGAAATAACGCATTCTATTCTACATATTCACGTACTCGTTAGTCGCCTGCTATCTAAACGTTTTCTTTGTGGCGTGGATATATTCTCAAACCCACTTACAGAATCAAAAACATGGTATAAATTTGTATTCGTGCGTTCACTAAAAAGTGACACGCCACAAGTACCTATACACTAGTTGCGTACGTGGGATCAGTCTGTCTTAAAAATTTATTGATTCTAATAAATTCCTTGCTGGAGAGCTGTATCATTAAACAAGAATATAATACAAGTAACAGATCAAAACTTTGTACAAAATATTAGAGATACGTAAAGAATCAAATATCAAACATAAAAAGTTCCTTTACACACGCAGGAAGCGCACACACTGCATCGAAGTGTGTGAAGCGTAATTACTCGACCAAATCTAAGAAATACGAGTACCTTTTGACAGTTATCACATTTATTGGAATAGGCATTTCAAATAAAAAATCAGACATTGTAAGTTCTAAAACAATTTCAGAATAAATTAAAACATAACATAAAACACAAAATTTATCAGTTCCTTCATATTTATTTATTACTACTAATTTCTAGCAGCTAAGTAATATACGAGCGAACGTAAGTATATAAGAGCCATGATAGCTCAGATGGTTAGCGCTCGCGGTAAATTTCACAGTACGCGAGAAACCCGGATTCGATCTCCGTCGGCACCAATGAAATTGTTAATTGCAATTTTAAGTGCTGCTTTACCACGTGCTCAGCGGTGAAGGAAAACATCGTGAGGAAACCTGCATGTCTGAGAAATAAAAAAAAACCGAAGACATGTGAAGTTCGCCAACACGCATTGGGGTAGCGCGATGGACACGTCCTTGCCCTAAAACCCTCTCAGAAATGAGAGGAGGCCTGTGCACTGCAGTGTGACGTAATAGACTGTAACTTTAAATTTTTTATTAATATACATTAAAGACTGCTCTAGATTAAAAATAAATTTATTTATTAACTTTCTCTAGAACTTAGTTGAGCTGTCGTCGTACTCATCGTTGTTTCATTAATTATTATTTCATTTTCTATGATGCATTCCAAAATGAATGTATGTTCATAGTCGTTCCTAATAATTTTCTTTGTTTTCTCTACCACTTTGGCCCAGTCATGCGTTTGTTGTAGTTGTATTTTCTGCAAATCCTCCTCTAGCGGGTCCCACAAGGTAAATTATGAGGCGTCCACCTTTTCCCACGGGTATGTTTGATCAATTAATATAACGTTGTCCCACTTGATTATATTTATGATTTCTCGTAAAAATGTAATACTTTGCGTTCATGTCTCTAAATAATTCCTTTTAAAACGGTTCACAGTGACTCTATACTACCATTGTACGAGCCGGCATCTTCTAAACTTACTTGTAACTTCGCCGCAGTGGAATTAACAGATATAGTAAAAAAAATTGACTATAATTCATGATTCGCATAAAAAAAACAACTTTAAATTAAAAAAACAAATTTGGATAAACAAATGATAAATTAAAAAATGTAAAGTTTCGATTATTTGAATATTTTTACCGATTATTCGCATTTGCATGTATTTGAATCATTCAAACACTACGGTAAGGTACTTATCGACATATCATTGAAATAACGTTAAGCAAAAAATTTGATTCTGGTTAAATTGTTTAAACTTTGCTTCTAATTCAAATTAGTGATAAAGAACTCTACATGTTGTAACGAAATATAGATAATTTCATAATTCTTTGGATTATTACTTTTTACGTAAGAATCCCCCCACTAGATGGAGTGACGACCTGGTAAGATATGCAGGAAGTTGATGGATGCAGGTGGCTCAGAACCGTGCTTTGTGGCATTCTTTGGGGGAGGCCTATGTTCAGCAGTGGACTTGTGAAGGGCTGTAATGATGATGACGTCAGAAAGATTATTTTTAATCGTGTGAGTACGCTTGTACAAAGTTATTGCGGAATAATCAATGTGAAATGTCAAGAGGTATTTCTTAGATTTAGTAGAGCATAAGAAAACATATCAACTCGTGGTTTCCAAGAAATAATTAAATAAAAATTCTGAAATATTGCAAACGTATAGAAATAAAATTATGCACGGAAATTGTTTTAAAGAAACTTACCTTGCTGGTTAATTTGATAGCAGAGCAACAGTCGCTCCTTGTCCGTCTCCGTTCGTACCGAGCTCTTGAAGTATAACCTATTCCGGTACGTCAGCCTTATGACGCGAGAGTTCTCGAATTTTCCAGACCCCTTCTCTCTAAGCGCCGTTTCCCATTTTGATATCACGTCGCAAAGCTAAAAACAGTAAACAGTGCAGTTACATGTGTGCAGTTCACACGTGGTAGAAGTGAAACGTTCAAATTAAATGAAATATAAAACAAAAACATTTCATAGCAAATGATTTATTAATTTTTTATAAAATATAATATAAATATTTAACTTTATAGCAAATAAATGTTACAATCCTTGCCCTGCCAATGTGTGGGGAAGGTGGAACACCATGGGGTTTTAGTAGATGCGAGTCCGACATAATCCGTTCTTGCCCCCGCAAAGCGGGTGTGCGTAGGCATTTCCTCATTTGAAACCCGGAACAAAATCCGATCTGTAGTTATGAATAAAAACGTAGATAGAAAAAGACAGCGTCGATCTTAGTTTTATATGAGGTATAAAGCGTGCGTCTAAGGCCTAGGAATTAAGCGATACATTTATTTATTGTATGGCATTACATTAGTATGATACATAAATAGAATTTACGTTATGGATATAGAATTTTTATCGATATATTTTGTCACACTGTCTTATCTCTATTAGTTCCGTGGACGTTCACTTCTGCCGTCAGCGCCAAAATGGCGAAAATCAAATCGCCTCATTATGTCACGGTATATAGCCAGTCCATATAATATAGAGGCCAGTGATTCGAGTACAGTAGGTTACATGAAAATTTAAAAATACCTTTTTATCGGGTTTAATATGATGCTCTAGATCTTTTTCTATGGGGTCATCGCTGAACAACGCAAAACCAGAAGCCGCAGACTCTCTGCATCCCAGCTCCGTGCTGAGCGTTGATAGGAACTCCTCGACTGTGGTCGAACCGTCAAATCCTATTACCTGAAAAGATTTTTCTAAATGCTTGAAATATGTACATAAACCAAGCACGCATGCATGCATGCACGTACGCACGAACTCGTGTATTTAAGTTTTTTTATAGAATAAGAGTGACAAACAAGCATACACTTCACCTAATAGTCAGTGGATGCTGTGGCTCATAGACATCTACAATCAAAACGTAGGATGCATTGTTCCGACAAATTCGTGTTGCAAACTATAATATAGCTGCAGCAGCTCTACCACGTATAACGCACATTTTATATAAAATGTTAAAATTGGTTTAAAAGTAAATAAAGATTTACTACATCATACATTTTCCCGTGTTAGTGGCTTGCAAGAGTACTCACTACCCCATATCTTCCAGTGGTTGTCGTAAGAGGCGACAGAGGGAAACTGAGGCAGAAGATGGGCAGCAGCACCTTTCTGATAACAGCAAAATAACAGCTCGCCAAGCGTGGCAACTATGGTAATATACTCCTTGGGTGAGACCTACGTTTAGCAATGAACTTGTGAAGGGCTGTAATGATGATGATGACATAATTTATATGGTACAATTTTATATTATGTTTAAAAGAAAACTCCTTCAGTCGTTGGTTAGCTGTTAACATAAAAAAATATTTTTAAGTTGAAAATAAGAATTGTTTTCCACCAACCTGGTAAGTGTTATTGAGCATGTGCACGGGTATGGCGTGAGGCAGACAGTGGTGATAGGGGTTCTTCAGCAGTATGGAGAGCACCTCCATACGCGACGGCTTGTCTTCGCGTCCGCCGTTGCGTATCGTACGTTCTAACGCGCGCGCACAATACGCCGCATATTTGCCGCACTCTGTCCTGGAAAACAAAGAACAGAATCGTAAAACCTTCCTTACAATTCGCCCATCCCGAACTACGCACAATGCTGTTCGCAACAGCAGCTGTAGTTCTCCTTTAAGAAAATAGTCCCGCAATATGTCTTATGGGTCTTTTTATCTAGATTTTTTTTAAAACCACCCCAAGCTGTTGCAAAACATCAATAGAACGTAGAAAGGCATTGTCAGTTATGGTTAAGTTCAGGGACAATTACAAATAAACCAAATGGCAAATGAAAAGGCAATATTTGTTTCTTTTTGTACAAATTTTTTACAAGACGTTTGGTAGTACGATCGCCAGTCTGTCTGCTATGCAAGGCGATTAAAACAATCTCATTATGCGACGGCCCATGTCTAGCAGTGGAAGATCAACTCGTTAACAGACCAGAGAAGATATTATTTTAGTCGGATTAATTGTACATTGATTGATAATATTGTTACGAGCTTGAGGTTCGAGACAATTAAAAACTGCCGATTGAATTACCAAAATCGACACTTTAATTACAGATACTAATTACAGCTTAAAAGACACTAATAATAAAACACAATAATTCTACTGATCACTTAAGTTCGCAGTTATTTCGCTTCGAAGTATTCTCTTGTATCGCCAATTCAATACTGCCCCGGTCGTGGTCTATACCGGCCTTATATAGGGCCTCAGATAGTTTCCAGAACCTTCTACTGTAGCGACATCTAGAATGTTCGAGTACATATCGGTCCCAAAATTTCTGGAAGGATCTCGACTCTCCTAGTTCTGCTACTCGACACTAGAGGGCGCTAGTGTAACTAGTGTTGCCATGTACAAAACATTAATAGTGGCGCGCAACACTTTCTTTTACTCGACACTAGAGGGCGCTAGTGTAACTAGTGTTGCCATGTACAAGACATTAATAGTGGCGCGCAACAATATATTATATTATAACTGCTGCAGAAATATATTCTACTTGTGAGAAGTTTCTTCGACTTTCAATTGTTAAGGCTAGTTTAGGATTAATTTTAACTTTGGATACACTCACTTGGAATCAGCATGCCTGCTGAGGTGCAGCTTCAAGTACCACAGGAGCCTGTTGTTCCTGGGCACAAAGAGGCTCACAGCGAGCGCTAACAACTGCCAGCCTTGGACAAAGCTGTACGTCGGCGGGTTGCTTTTACAATCCACAGATAACAATGGCGCCTGAAATGTGACCAATTGATGTAATTTTCCCTATTTCAGTATATGTTAAAAGAAAAAAAACGGGATTTAATTCTGAGTAATTAAACTATACCTGAAGAGATTTACATAAATTAATATTTTCAAGGTCCTTTTTTTATAAGTGAAATTTCAGAAAGGAAGCAATTAAATAAATGGCAGATTTTATAATTAGTTTTGAGAGCAATCTCGATAATAAATTTAACAATTCAGTCACAAATCACATTTTAAGGACCGGAAAAATATTACTTATTTAGAGTCAGAGAGATATAATAAAAATTATTTTTATTTAAGTTGTTATTTGTAATCTGAAATGAAAACTTAATTCGTAACAATAATTGAACATTAAAGTGTAATCTTTCAATATTATAAAATTGTACATTAGACCTATATAGTTCATTTAAACTCACATTCAATTGCCTTTCTCATATGACATTGTAAATTAAAAACATGCAAGTCAATCAATACATTTTTTGGCTTTCGAAATAATTGTTTTTATTATTAAAATGTCATCGGTAAGTCTATATTCATGTTTGGGGCATGTTGTTTTCGCAATCATCACTGGCTTAAAAAAATCACACATTGATTTTTATTTCTTTCATCCTTACAATATTAGTCAATTTATCAATTATATTGCTATTATTGGAAATTACCTAGTCATTATTTGACCTTAAATAATATTGTTTTATTGTTGTGTCATTATTCAAGCACAAGAAATTAATAAAAGACGTGCCTTTGAGAATCTGTGATGCAAGTCTCACAAAAATGGTTTCTCTGTCTCTGTTTAATCTTCAGTTACTATAAAATAGTATGTAACTTATTATCATTTCTTCTCTACAGAAGAAACCTTGAAGAAATTGTTTCCATTCATTGTAATGTCTTTATTATATTATGTTTTGACATGTAATAGTGTTTATTTTACAACTAATAAGCTTAAATATATTTTTAGATATAGTTTTTAAAAGCTTGACACCATCGATGGCAGAAAAGAATGTGTAGAAAGAACATGGCAGAACCTTAGGGATGGAATGGTAAGTGCAGCGGAAGAAGTGTGTGGAACAATAAAAAGAGGCAGTAGTAAAAGAAGAGATGCATGGTGGAATGATGAAGTGAAAGAAGCTGTAAAGAAGAAGAAGAAAGCATGGTTAGACTACTTGGCCTCTAGTAATGATAAGGATATGAGAGAGAAGATGAAAGAAAGATATAGGCTGCAGAAAGTTCACACGAAAGCACTGATTGAGGAAGTGCGTGAAAGGTGTAAAATGGAAGCGGACGAAAGGTTGTCGCACAACTTTAAGGAGAACTCCAAACTCTTCTGGAAAGAGGTTGGAAGGGCCCGAAGTGGTGCGACGGCCTTAAGAATGAACAAAGTGCTTTCGAGAACTAATGACGTCCTCTCAGAAAAATCGGACGTCATGCAGCGATGGAGCGAATTTTATAGAGAAATGTATGCGTGTGATGATCTTAGTAAGGGATCCGGGGATGACGCCGTGACTGGTACGCCAGACCCGGACCTCGATGACACTGAGGTCATCAGTATGAAAGAGATTGAACGTGCGATTCGAAGTTTGAAATGTGGTAAGGCTGCGGGACTAGACAGAGTTACTGCTGAAATGGTCAAGTATGGTGGGCCTCGCGTCTGGGACAGCTTTCATCTGCTGTGCAATTTGTGCTGGCGGACGGGGGTTGTCCCGGATGATTGGCGATCCGCAGTCATTGTGCCTTTATATAAAGGTAAAGGTTCACATTTTGACTGCGGGTGCTATCGGGCGATCAGCTTGACCAGTTTAGCAAGTAAAGTTTACTCGAAGGTTTTGACACGTAGGATGCAAGAGAAATCGGAAAGATTTCTATGGGAGGCACAATGCGGATTTAGACCTGGAAGAGGATGCACGGATCAAATGTTTTCTCTCCGCATGATCACGGAGAAGCTTCTGGCTGCTAACCAGAAGATTTTCTGTGCTTTTGTGGATCTTGAGAAAGCATTTGATAAGGTTGTAAGGAAGAAAATGTGGGAACTGTTGCCGGGGTATGGTGTGGATGGTCAATTGCTAAGGGCTGTGCAGTCTCTTTACTGTGACTGTAAAGCCTGTGTGCGGGTAGGGCATGACCTGTCACCCATGTTTAACGTCCAAACGGGCGTAAAGCAGGGTTGTGTCATGTCTTCCTGGCTGTTCATACTGTATCTCGACAGCTGTTTACAGAAGCTGAAAGATAGTTGTTTGGGTGTGAAATTGGGTGACATTAAAGTAAATTGTCTGCTGTATGCTGATGATGCAGTGCTTATTGCACCATCAGAGGCAGAACTGCAGGCATTAGTCACGTGTATGAAAGAGGAATGTGAAATTAAAGGTCTCCGTTTGAATGCTAATAAAACTAAGGTTCTGGTATTTGAAAGGGACGAAGAGAGAACGAAGTGTGAAATATGGGTAAATCAGGAATGTCTAGAACAGGTAAATGAAATTGTATACTTGGGGAGTGCTTTTAGCCGGGATGGAAGATGTGATTTAGATGTGGACAGGCGTGTCGCTGCCGGGAACAAAGTCAATGGTGCCCTGACTGCGTTAGTCAAAAAGCAAGGCGTAGCGAAGAGTGCACGCCTTGCAATACATAACGCAGTGTTGGTACCGACTTTGTTATATGGCAGCGAAACCTGGGTATGCCAGAAGAAGCATAAAAGTAAGTTGAATGCAGTGGAGATGCGATCTCTTCGTAAAATGTGCGGCGTTACCATGGCCGACCGAAAGCGAAACGAAGAGATTCGCAATATGGCAGGTTTGAAAGATGACCTTATCACAAAAATTGATAAGGGCGTGCTTCGGTGGTTTGGGCACGTTGAGCGAATGAGTGAAGACCGAATGGTGAAGAAAATATATAGCGCGAAAGTTAATATTAAAAGGTGTCGAGGTAGACCGAGACTAACTTTCGAAGACCATGTGAGCAAATTGCTCGAAGAGGGTAGGGTCAAAAGTACTCGGATACTTAGACGTGCATGCATGAAGAAGATAATGAATCTGAAAGAAGCGAAAGAGGTTTGTAAGGATCGTGACACTTGGCGATCTGTTCTCTCTGGCTACCCCGTCAGGGATTGTGCGTGAAGATAAGAAGAAGAAGATATAGTTTTTTTAGAAAACTTATTTAAAATTCTTACCCATATCTGTCATTCATGTGACACAAAACATTTGCGATAGATAACTGCTCAATTTATGTAGGGTCAAATGGGTTTAAAACTCTGGCCAGGATATTAGATACATAGCGAAATTAGAGATAAAGATATTAAAGCGTTTATATTTTTAAATGTTTCAACCACTTTCATCACAGACTCCCAAGCAGACACGTTGTTTGCTGTTGTCTAAATATGTGGTTCCATAAGAATTAAAAATGTAACACCAGCGGGAATTATATTTACATCAAAACCACACACAACAATGAAACGTCTACGTATTTATTAGACGCAAAACTGATGGTTTGGTCAGCTTGTCAATTGGATGGCTTACCCGTTAGTTAAACGCTGAAATTTTCTGGTTGGAGTTTAACGTTGGTAAATACCTTCGGCACTATAAGATACTTTCTTATACCTTGCTGTTTTTAACGCTTAATTACTAACGATAAGTAGGTAATAAGCCGTAAAAGCGCGAAACGGTATCGCGCAGCGTAAGCTGTACGCGATATAACATAATAACACATCAGCTGTGCGTGATACAACGAGTATTGGCACTCTGCTTACACAGCGTGTTGCTTAACATCAATAGCGCCAATGCGCAATAAAAAGCGCACTATATTTGTAGCGTCTCGTGACAGTCGATATAGCGTGTTAACTTATCATAAAAGTAGTGCGCTGTTGATCATATTGTTCAGTACTAATTACCTGTATAGAGCTGGGCGAGCCTGCTGTATTAGGCGGCATGTCACCGCTCTTGCTGTCGCCGACAGACGAAGCGCCCGTGTCGCAAGTGAACAGCGACTGAGTCGCGCACAGCAGCAGTTGCTGCGCAAATGAAATGTTGGTGGTTCGAAAACTTGGTGGGGGGAATTGTACTGCGACTGTTGTCCCGACGGCCTTATTAAGTGTCATTTGTGATTGATGTTTCGTTTAATAATAATTTGTTATTCATAAATATATATGGGAGAGCACTGTTTATTAGAGAATGTGGCTTTATATCAAACTTTATCAAACACTACTATGGACCCAGGACAAATATCCAAACCCGAAATATTTTTGTATACAATAAAAATAATTGTCCCAGGGAATCGCAAAATCTAAATTCTGGAGGAGATTACTTTTTATTCTAGTTGTAAATAAGGTTAGAAAATGTCTGTAAGAACTGAACTTTCAATAGAAAACATTTATCAAATGTTGGAATTAAGAAATAACATTACATTTCATTTAAATAATCTGATTCTAATAAATAAATTGTTTGTATGTTAGTAGCAGTGCCAAATATGATGCTAGTAGAGTGTTATATTACAACCGTTTCTGCTAAAATACATTTTAACCCATCCTTATGTATAAAATCTGTGGCTATAATACAGAGTAGTGCAAATACTTAACTTTCATAAGGTATAACTGCATAAAATATCTCTAGTAGGCTTCTTCATAAGTATATGTCACTAAAGATTTCAAATGTCACACGTAATTATAATTACTAATTAAAAATTTTACTCAAAACTAAACAAACCCATAAGAAAATCGCTATGCAACCACAACCGTAAGCATGAATGTATTGGATGATATTAGGATATGAAAGTCTAAAATTATTACCGTTAATAATAAAAACAAACAACCTTTGGACAATCTTCTGACATGTTAACAATTTTTACTTATGGTTTCATATTATTATAGGATTTTCATTTAAGTTAAATAATTATACCGTTTAAATGTAAAGTGCAATTTTATTAATTTTTAATTGTCAAAATTAAAACTCAAATTAAAATTCAAATAACTTGGCGGCGCCGTCGTCGCGCCACAAGCGAAACAAATCGAAGCCTAAATCGCGCTATCAAAGTTCCGATGTAAAGCAGTATATTATATAGAATAGCTCCTAACTACTACACAAAGTGTTGGCCGCCCCCCGGGCAGAACACCTTGCCCGGCGGGATATCTCCCCTTTTACTTCCACCGGCCACAAACTAATTAAAATTTACTTAATGTTGTTTTTCGCCAAATAATAAAATATAAATATTGCAAAAAAATTAAATGAATTAGAAAGTCATAAAAAAATAACTTACAAAAATATTGTAACATTCAAAGTAGTTTTTTGTTATAAATATATTCGTAACATGAATAGAATTCCTATGCAGTTATACATGGCTTAAACCTAAGTTATCCTAAGACTTACCTTCGTAAAAAATATTAATAAAGAAATAAATATTCTAAAAAATCTTGCAACATCAATCGTTCATAACAAAGTGGAATCAACAGTGCGAGGAAACTAGCTATGAGAGCTATGAATGATATTGTATACGACAAGAAAACATTCCCTATATCTAACGGGTAGGGGTCAAACATTCGAGGATGAAAACGTCATTAGAAACAAATAAAATATGGGGGAAAAAATTACACCAACATTCCATTTGAAAAATTGCGACAATGTACATACGCTTTTTTGTTGTGGCAACATTTTCACTTTATTTTTATGTACGCATAACAGACTAAAAACGTGTCACAGTTGCTTTTTTCGATAGTCGATTGATCGTTTGTCAATGTTGCCAGAACTGAACGATCAAGTTGGAATAGAGTTGACCCATTGCGAATAATGTTTCGATTTTTGTTGTAATTAATAATAATACATTATTTCAAATATTTTCAAAAGCCAATAAAATGTAATTCACACACAATTCCAAATTGATCAACCACATGACATAAGCTCGTCTATATATTACAATTTACAGCAGCACATAAAGCGTTTTACAGTTACTTTGAAAGAAATGGTTTGTTAGTGTATATAGGTTTTAAAAATGCGAAAAAAAAAAAGGTTTTTTTTCTAAGCCACTTACATTGTAGGCTTTGAAGGTACTGTTAACATTTAGCAGCAGATTTTAAAGCATTAAAACATCCTACTCTCATATTATAGCCTTTAATATAAATTTTGCGAAAAAGCCAGAATTAAACGTTATATTACAAAATAACTACGGATAAATATTTCCTATATTACTACTATCAATATACAAATGATAGTGATGATATAAATAAACCAATACTTGTGTAAATGAACGACGACGAGTAAAATGATGGCATATGAGAAAAGCATTGAAGCATTGCTTGAAAGCAAAGGCGGTGGTGAACATAAAGCGTGTTTATAATAACCAGAATTCATAGGTTTTTTCTACCTTATTATTGAAAACCTAGCAAGTGAATGTGTCAGATTGCGCCGTTAAGTTAAATGCCAGTTAGATATTTAATTTTAGAGGCGACATGATGTTGTGCCTGTTATCATGTAATACATTGTTTTGAAATATTGAAGTACAATACTATATTTACAAAAATTGTGTATTAAACATGAAACCTGGTTAAGCTTTATATTCAAATTGACTTTCATTGAAACTAAATAATTGATATTAAATTATTTATTACATTTTTGGTATTGTGAGCAATATTTAGTAACAATAAAAGTCATTATGTTTTATAATTTCAACTATGAAAAGTCTCTAAATATAAAATCTACATTAGAAACTTTTCGTAAGTTATAGCAAACAATAATTAGCGCTAATTGCTCCTGTGTAAGACATAAAACGGTTTTAAAAATCTTTCTTGTAATATATTTAAAAAAAAATTAAGTATGGAAAGTAACACAGGAACATTTAGTTTATTCGTTAGAAAACTTTGCTGGGAGATGCGATCAGTGATCACGTTAAAAAATTTATAATTAAACCATTGTTTGACAGTTGGAAAATTAATTTTTATGAAACCTTTACAATTTTATGTGAAAACTTATTGAAGCTGATTTTTCAAATTGTAACTAATGTATATTTTGAGTATTATTTTATTAGGACAATTCAATTTACGTGCTGTTTATCTTTACTATTTAAATATATTTTTTTTAAATTTACATTGGACTTCAGAAAATCATGTAGGTATGTACGAATGTAGTAAAATTTCATAATTCAGTTTTCACCTACTTTTAGATTTCTAAAGCGTACATTAGCAATATGAGTAATTTTGGTTCATAAATATAGGATTTGTCTATAAGTTGACTATAGCGCCGCCTTAACTTAGTTATGAACCATCGTCTCGATCACAAATGTTTAAATCGTTTATAAGTTACATGATAAGTAACAGATACAAAAGCAAAAGGAAAGATATCGTCCCCTCCTTTTGCCTTATTTTTTTTTCATGATATGGTGCCAATTTTAATTAACTTTTTAAAAGCAATTCAGAAAGTGTAATTTTAATTATTAAATTATTTTTGTTATAATATACTAACAAAAAACAGGGCTGCGAAGATTTAGCTATTTTTCATTATTATTATACGAGGGTGGATTGAAAAGTACTCGGCCTAACCAAGAAAATAAACAAATACTAAATCAGTTATATTTTTATTTTTCTACATAATCACCATCAAGTTCAATACACTTTTGCCACCTCCCGTTCCAAGCATTTAGACCGTTGAAAAAAAATGATTCTTCCTTAGAGTCAAAATATGCGCCTACAGCTGCTTTGACCTCGTCGTTTGTCGAAAATCTTTGACCTCCCAAGTGCTTTTTTAGGTTAGGGAACAGAAAGAAGTCTGATGGTGCCAGATCAGGTGAATACGGCGGATGCGGTAACAGTTCAAAGCCACAGTTGTGAATTTCAGCCATTGACTGTACTGACGTGTGAACACGGGCGTTATCTTGATGAAACAGGACTTTTCTTATGAGCATTCCTCGACGTTTTTCTTTTATTTCCTCTCGTAAACGACGTAGTAAGGTACAGTAGTAATCAGAGTTTATATTCTGACCCCTTTCAAGATAATCAATCATAATCACACCTTTCGAGTCCCAGAATACTGAAGCCATCACCTTATTTGCCGACAAAATCGACTTAGCTTTTTTAGGGGGTGGTGAACCAGGTCTTCTCCACTGTTTTGATTGTTGTTTTGTTTCCGGTGTACAGTAATGAACCCATGTTTCGTCCATAGTAACAAAACGATTCAAAAAATCATCTGCATCGGCTTCAAATAACTCCAAACAGTCGCGTGAAATAGTCAATCGCGTCCTTTTTTGTTCAACTGAAAGCAGTCGCGGAACCCACCTCGCAGACACCTTGTGGAAACCCAACTCATTGTCAACGAGTTGGGTTTCCACAATGTTTTGAGTTCGTTCATAAGAGATGCCTATAATCTCGGCTATCTCTCTAATTTTTAATCTGCGGTCTCCCATTATTAAATCAAGTACTTTTTAATATTTTCGTCAGTAGTTGACGTCGAAGGCCTTCCAGAGCGGGGTTCATCTTTCACACTCTCTCTACCACGCTTAAATTCTGCTATCCATTTTTTGACGGATGAATATGACAGAGCACAATCGCCTAATGTACTGACCATGTCATCGTGGATGGCTTTTGATGATAGCCCCTTCTTATGGAGGTACTTAATGACGGCACGCTGCTCGATTTGCTCCATTCGCGGAAATTATGTCCGATTACTTTGTTAATAAATTTATAAAATCACAACTAATTATCGCACACGTTTCGAACTTCACACAATGAACTAGTCTGAACTGAACTAAATAATGTGGGTAGATTTGATTTTTAGAATTGAATGGATCTGTGTTAGGCCGAGTACTTTTCAATCCACCCTCGTACAGTCGTAACTATCGCGTTATTATACTTAATACTTATACATCAACAAGTGAAACAAGGTTTAATACACATTTATTTAATATACACCACCAAATACAGGCTGCAAAGATTTACCAACTTTCCAAAAAAAAAAAAAAAAGGAATCGCATCTCCCGCAAGTGAAACAAAACGGCATGACTTACTGCTTTGAGCTTGGGCTTAACGCCAGAGCGCGCGCGAGTGGCGCTGGGCGAGGGTGCGGGCGTGTGCGCGGGCGAGCGCGTTACCTGCACGCCGTGCTTGGTGTGCGCGTGCGGCGCCGTCTGGCGCGCCAGGCACGCGGCCAGCTCGTCCTGCAGCTCGCACACGTCCAGGCACTGCTGCAGCGCGTTCTGCGCCAGCACCACGTGGTAGTCGATGCCCGCCTGCTCCACCGCCACCGACATGAACAGCTGCACGCACTGCACCACCACACACACCCCGCATTTACACTTCCTTTCTTTTTTTATATAACTGCAGTGGCGATCGAACTACATTGCACGTGATGGTAAATGGCTACTGCAGTCCAGCTAACTTAAAACAAAGAAGGCCACAGATACGTACAACTTGGCCAAAATAATTAGGCACATTACAGGAATGCGGTTTCGGCGCCCGCACCCCGCCTCTATGCCCGCGCTTTCTCTAGTGACCAATCACGGTTCCGGTGTTCCCTCCATTGTTCTAATGATGCAAAATTGAGAAATCGGCAATATTAGACATCTTCAACGATATCCTTGATGCCATAATTTTCTGTATATGCCATCTTCAACATGTATTTAAATAAATATATGTATACTTCATAAACTGCTTATATTGTATTCGAATTTGAAGTATTAAAATTTGACAGCTCGTCAGTTCAAAAGATGGAGCGACTAAGAAAATAAACGACAGTTGACTATTTTTTTATAATTTTTTTTGTAACTGGTCTTTTATCTAGTAGTGCTTATACCTATTTTTATTATTTCTGAACCCCAATTGTCCAGTTAAGTTATTTAATTTATTTAAAAGAGGAAAAAATATTCCGTTTATTATTTTTAATTTCTTCTCGTTGTGACAACCCTATAAGCTGCTATTTGACGCTAGTATTCTGTGAGAGCGTAGTCCTTCCCCGGTCGAGGCGACCCATTCGTGCTACAACTATACTACTATATAACTGCAGCATGGCTCTACCACGTATAACTGCTATACATTGTCAAAGCTCGTTTCTATTGAAAAACCCTGTAGTATTGTGACCATACATCAGGCGCATAGGTTTTTTTTTTATAGAAGAGGGGGCAAACGAGCATGCGGCTCACCTGATGGTAAGTGACTACCGCCGCCCATGAACAACCGCAACACCAGTGGAATTGCAGATGCGTTGCCGGCCTTTTAGAAAGGTGTAAGCTCTTTTCTTGTAGGTTCCTAAGTCGTATCGGTCCGAAAAATTCGCTGGTGGTAATTGATTCCACAAGGAAGTTGTGCGAGGGAGAAACAGTGGTGGGCCGCCAATCATCCAGATGGTATGGATGGAAACGCGAGTTTTGTCGCGATGTGCGATGGTGAAACTGAGCGGCTGGAATTAGTCCGAACAATTCCTCAGAGCACTCCCCGTGATAGATGCGATAAAATACGCAAAGAGATGCAACATCTCTATGCAGTGCCAGTGTATCAAGCTGATCAGAAAGAACTCGGTCGAAGACGATTCGAACCGCTCTGCGCTGGATGCGGTCAAGTGGAAGGAGCTGGCACTGGGGTGCCCCGGCCCAGAGATGAGAACAGTATTCCATGTGGGGCCGAACTTGCGCTTTGTAAAGTTGCAAGCGATGTGCCGACATGAAATACCGTCTCGCTCTGCTGAGCACGCCAAGCTTTTTAGAGGCCAATTTGGCCTTCCCTTCCAAGTGACCACGAAACTGCACACTATTCGATATGTCGACGCCAAGGATTCCGATACTAGCTGAGGCAGCAAGGGGAGTGCCTTGAAACTGAGGAGATACGACAAAGGGGTTCTTTTTAGCGGTAAACGCGCAAACTTGTGTCTTCTGGGGATTGAACTGGACTAGATTTAGTCGGCCCCAATCCGAGACTTTGTTAAGCAAAGACTCGACTTCAGACACAAGTTTGTCCCGGTACTCAGCGACGTTTTCCCGAGAAATATTGGCACGGCCGGTATGTAAGGCATCACCAGTGCTGTCGTCTGCATAGCAATGAATGCTACCAGTTAGCAACATATCATTGATATGCAGGAGAAACAGCGTTGGTGATAGCACGCAGCCTTGTGGAACACCAGCGTTGATAGGCTTGAAATCAGAGCATGCACCGTCTACTACGACCTTGATGCTCCGATCAGCAAGGAAACTGGTGATCCATTTGCACAATTTCTCGGGAAGGAAGGAAGCTTCGAAATAAGCGCTTTGTGCCAGACCCGATCGAAGGCCTTCGCTATGTCCAAACTAACGGCCAATGCCTCCCCCTTGGACTCTACTGCCTCCGCCCATCTATGAGTCAGATAGACTAGAAGATCACCAGCTGATCGACCTCGACGAAAACCATACTGGCGGTCGCTAATCAGCTGGTGATCCTCAAGGTACCTCATGAGCTGGCAGTTTATAATGGACTTCATTATTTTGGAGAACAAGGAGGTGATGGCAATAGGCCTGTAGTTGGACGGGTCTGAGCGGTCGCCTTTTTTAGGGATCGGGTGGACCAAAACTGTCTTCCATGAATTCGGGACTACGCCTTGGGAGTAGGAGTACCAGAAAAGACGCGTTAAAACCGGTGCCAACTCCGGAGCACACGTCTTCAGCACAATGGGAGGGATTCCATCGGGCCCACTCGACTTGCTGACGTCCAGGGAGAAGAGTGCTTTGCGAACCGAGCGCTTTGTAAACCGCACATCCGGCATGGAGCACTCACATCGCGGGATGGTCGGCGGTTGTGTTCCCCCCGTCATCTAGAGTCGAGTTGGACGCAAAAAGAGAGCTCAACAGATCGGCTTTCTCCTTTGCGGCATGGGCCAGTGAATCGTCCTCTCTGTGCAGAGATGGAAGAGATGGCTGACAGAAGTTCCCTTGGACAGCCTTGGCGAGAGACCAGAATGCACGGGTTCCCGAAGGAAGGCGAACTAGCTTCTCGCCAATTCTGCCGATGTGCTCAGACTTTGCCTTGGCAATGATGCTTTTGAAGGACCTGGAGGCGGAATTATACTTCTTTTTAAGTGCGCTGGTGTTTACATCCCGAGACGTTAATGCGTCAGCCCAGGCCCGGTAGCACTCCTGCTTATAGCGTGATGCTATTTTACAGGAGCGACCAAACCATGGCTGGGATCTGCCTCCGATGGGCACCACAGAGGATGGAATAAAAAGTTCCATACCCTGAAGTACCACATCAGCAACAGAATCAGCAACAACGCTGGGATCTTCCGGCGAGAAGCAAACCCGCCCCCAAGGGTAGGATGCAAAAAAAGACCGCATCCCGTCCCAATCAGCTGACCTATAGTGCCAAACACGGCGGCGGGCTGCAGATCGCAACTGCGATTGGAGCGTGAGTGGCACCGTACTCCGGATCAGACAATAGTCCGAAGAGCCCAGAGGGGCATCGACGGAGACCTGATATCCGTCCGGATGAGAGGTCAGCAGAAGGTCCAACAGGGAAGGTACATGGTCTTCCACATCTGGGATCCGCGTAGGCGAAGTAACCAGTTGTGTTAGACCATATGCCAAAGCAAAGTCATAGACAGATCTACCCGCATGATCGGTTAAACGAGAACGAAGCCATTCAGCGTGGTGGGCGTTAAAATCACCGAGTATCACGATCTCTGCGGATGGGACCTGTTGTAGCACGGAGTCTGCAGCCATTTGAACGTGGTCGATGAGTCGGTCTGTGTCGGCGTTACCGCTATGGGACCTATAGAGGCACCCGTAGACGCGGGGATGGTCGTCGCTGTCTACGCGCAGCCTTAGGATGGACAGGTCCGTACCTTCAAGACTGCCGAGGCGTCGAAAACTGATGTCCTCTCTGACGTATACGCAAACTCCAGCCCGGGGCACAAAGGAGTGTTCCAATTTGTACCCCGGGTAGGAGAGATATGAAGTATCAGCCGGAGAGGACACCTGAGTCTCGGTTAAAAACAGCAAGGCCGGCTTCGCCGTCTCTAGATCGTAATTGACAGCGTTAAGGTTGGAATGAAGTCCCCTGATGTTACAAAAATTCACGGATAGCGTGACAGGGGTCGCCTTGGTTGTATTGCTCCGCTTGCCCCGAGCAGCATTAGTCGCGAGCGGAATTTTGCCCCCCCCCCCCCCCCCCCCAGAATACGCGGGGCAGCCTACGCACCCACGCTCAGGAGTGAAGTAGTTTGGTCGTGGATGCTCAGCGAGGGATTCTCCAGGGGTGCTGGTACCCTCCTGGGGTAGTCTTTTATTTAATTCTACTACCATGTTGATGGGGGGGGGGGGGGGGGGGATTGGGCCTCCGGCCACCTGCACTCACCAAGCGCAACGCAGAGGTAAACCTCTACTTCACGCTGGTATTCTGTGAGGTCATGGTACCACCCCGGTTCGAGCTGGCCCATCCGTGCGACAGCAAAAGCTACCGCTTAGCTCTACCACTGTTAAATCAGGTAATCACAGTATCGATTGTACATTTGACGCTGCCGTCGCCGATTGAATATTTTGTGTCATGAGAAAGCGATATGGTTATACCGTTTATCGGAGGACATGACATCTTCTTGGCATTTCCCATAGTCATTTTTATGGCATCCTCGGGACGAAATGGGAAGATGAACTCTCTTTTGCTACCACCCCATCGCGTATAAAAATGATGGCTTCTTTACCTAAACAGACATAAACACTGGTCGTACTACCCCAAATACGAAGGATTTACCGTGAGACAGATCGTAGATCGCACTACGGTACGTTATGTATCATTGGCGCTAGTCAATTGCCGTTGAAGTTATTCGTTGTTCCGCTATTTTGTTATAGAGTAGAAGATTTTCCTTGTTTTCCGTTTGGGACAACTGTGATGAATAAATGTGTCTTCAAGATGATCGCAGCCGACATAGTTGAAATTGGTACAATGCGACTCAAATAAGAATAGGAACGTGAATGACCTCGAATGACCACGATCTGTTAATTGTCACTTGAAAAGTACGGCTTGCAAAGAAAATTAATTTTTGTATTAATAACGATTTTTTCCACTTTATTTAACTGACTAGCTGTGCTCCGCGGTTTCACCCGCGTCATCACGTGTCCGAGGTGCGCGACATGACCTAGTTCAAGCATTTTAAACGGCTAGGGTTTAAGTGTCGTTCGCGCGCCCAGCCAAGTATTGAATTTTTTTTTATAGGAGTGGGGGCAAACGAGCATGCGGCTCACCTGGTGGTAGGTGACTACCGCCGCCCATGAACAACTGCAACACCAGGGAGGGAATTGCAGATGCGTTGAATTATTTTAATTTTACATTATCTCTTAAACTATGCGTCCTAATAACACGGTATAAAGAACAAAGTTTATCTTTATAAAATTGTCTTGATGATGAAGTAACTTTCGTTCGTAAGTATAAATAGGCCATGCCTTATAATAACGGTCATAAATCACTTTTAAATTTTCAATATTTTTTTGTCACAAAATACCAAATTATGGCTTATGTATAAGAAATAGACATATGGTATCGCGGACTTTTTTTTAGACGAAGTAAAGGTCTATATTTTTCTAGAACATTGTATTTACATATCCCTAACGATAACACCAGCGTACGCGGATAAATCATTTCGGGAGTGCTTTTTCTTCTGACTTGCTTAACAAATATCCATATTTAAGGCTAGTTGAGTAATATAGCTTAATGCTAGATAGCCTATACTATTCCACATGAATCTGGCAATAATATACAAAAATAATTTTTCGAATCGGACTGGTAGTTCCAGAGATTAGCGCGTTTAAACAAACAAAAACACAAAAAACCTCTTCCGCTTTATTTTATTAGTATAAATGAGTCTTAGTATTACCAAATCGAATGAATTCATATTTTTTTTATAAATTCTTTTAAAATATTGATACCAGTCGGTGGAATTATTTTAAATACCTCATTAATCCATGTTCTATTTTTATAAGAAAAAGCAGCAGTGATAATAATGATGACAATAATGACTATTCAGACTAAGCAGAGATGAGCAAAATTTAAATGCTAGATTCAGACTTAGATGCCGGTGCTTAATAAAAGCGCAAATAGGCAGTTACGGTTTTAAAAATATTAAAGAACTGACTTCATTGAATGACACCACAAAAAATCTCAATTAGTTAAAAGTGAAGTGAGGTGAAAGTGAAGACTCATTTGAGTCTTCACTTTCACCGCGTGATATTTATAAAAACAATCTTGATTTTCGAGAAAAAAAATCGTCAACAATGGTAAAAACACTTAAAACGGCCTTCTATTTTAAATTTCTAGGTTATTTCGTTATCATTTTAGAAAATATTTTTGGTTAAAACGTGAGATAAAAATATAATAAATACAACACATTCACCATTCATTATTCTTACTAATTCAAACCAAAAAGCAATAATCTAAGCCTAAATATCATTCCCTTTTTAGCAGAAATCGTTGCCCGATTTCCATACATATTAGTATTAGGTTATTTTTCCGGTTAGGTTTCCGTAATTCGCTTTATATTACAGAACACGTATGAAAAAAATTCAGTGTCGCCTCAATTTTCGAGGTGATTGCACGTCCGTTCGTAGCCAGATTTAATGAATCGAGTCGGTATATCTATATATATACTAAAATTATTTGTATTCTTCGAGTAAGTAGACTAACTAGGTATGTAAGTTTTATTATGTATTGTTTTTTGTAATTAGAAAGATCATTTATGAAATCCACATTTCTCATATTATACAAAACATTGATAATATTTTAGTTCATAAATAAAAAATAGTAGTTAAAATAATATCTAGAAAACGTACACTCTTGCCTCAGCCTTTGCCGTCAGCTATTAATTACGGACTCGCGGACTTCTCTATGTAACAAGCAAATGACATAGAAGATATTACAAATGGCTACATGCAATAAGTGTTTTGTGACATTCATAAACATCCTACGAAGACGAATGCGTGATGATTATGTAACTTGTGTGAAGCACCAAGAGTAATTTATTCATGTCCAGGGTGCGTATACTAACACTGCGCGATGCGTCTGTCTGACTAAAAAATATCAATGTAGATGTTCTATTAGAAGTACCTACGCTCAAGGAATACAGTTTTAATACTTTTTCGCTCATGGTTCTTTTGCAAATAAATATTATATCAAAACTATTTGTTTTGCTGACTCTACCTAACTGGTTTGAATTGAGCTATGACGGCAAAATATGGAGCTAGGTCAGTCATATTCTTATTTAAATTGCATAGTAATGTGAATCGATTTCTTTCAGTTTATCGATTTTCCTAAAGTAAACATTTATTCAAATCACATAACTATGTTCAAGGACGGATCAAAGACTTCATAATATTATGACGTATGTTTTTGATTGCACAACTCTAACGCGAAGCAGAGACATTGAGTTTTATTATCGATTTGACAAGGTCACGCTACCCGTTCACATTAAGTCTGCTTCATTATTTATAGTCTATTGTTAAAAATAACCGATTTATAATCAATTATCAACTTCAATAGTAGAAACTATACGCACTTTGAACAGCTTCAACGCTTCAGCTTGCAGAGCCTCGGAGTTAAGCGAAGTGAGAGGTGACGTTATGTTTTCCTTGGAATACAGCAGCGTTGGGTGCCGCCATAGCACGCAGTCTGTAAAAATTGAAAAAAGACAAGGTGTAATTTTTTTTCAATAATTTTATTCAATACTCAAAGACTCTCAGAAATGTGAGGTTTAAGCTCAGAACTTACAAGATTGTAGTATTTGCTATACTTTGCATTTAAATAACGAAAACTACTAAATTAAAGATTTTCGCGATCATCCATCTCTCCTTCTCTTCCTTTCGAATTTTAACGCCATTTCTTTGTTTTTTTTCTTTTTCTTATTTATAAAAGATTTAAATACATGAAGGAAATTAGGTAATAAGGAAAGCTTTAAAGGTTTTGTGTTTTAGGAGAAATGATTTCGAACCCTGTAGACTCGATAAATTCGTAGCTTAATTTTATAACTTTAATTTTTGGACGTGGTAGAGCCATGCTGCAACTATATTAGTGGTATAGTTGTAGCACGAATGGGTCGTCTCGACCGAGGTAGGACCACGCTCTCACAGAATACCAGCGTAAAATAGCAGCATAACTCTGCTGTGTTTCGTATGGTGAGTGTAGAGAACCGGAGACCCTTTTTACTGGAACCGGGGCATTCCATCTTAGTCCTCACGGGTGACGACGCATCTGCATTTTGATTTGTAATCGAGGATAGATGTAGATGTCTATGGGTCACCACCAACCACTTACCATTAAGTGGACTGTATGCTCGTTTGTCACCCTATTCCTATAAAAAAATCATATTTTGCTGATTTCTAAAAAATACATCTATACGTTTTATAAAATTAGATTCATTCATTCATTCATCATTCATTACAGACAATCAAAATTCTCGCTGAACGACCTTGAGCTTCCTCACACGGCCAGCAATGAAGGACCACGTCTCAGATCCATAAGCCATCACTGGCAACACGCACTGGTTGTACACCGTGCTTTGTGGCATTCCTTAGGGGAGGCCTATGTTCAGCAGTGGATTTGTGAAGATGATGATGATTTATTATTATTAGTTAGATTTAAGAAATATGATAAGAAACAATGAGTAAGGAGAGATATATTAATAAAAGGATGCTCACTGGGGTCCCCGTCAGTCTCCATGAGCTTGTGCACGAGCTGCTCGAAGTGCGTGCCCTGGCTGAGGCCGCCGCCGCTCACCACCGTCAGCTGGTAAAGCCACGCGTCCTTGTCCGCCTTGCTCTCGAACAGCAGGTACGTGGGACCCTGCGGCGAGGGGAGGACACTATCACTTACATATCCGCTAGTTATAAATCTATCTATACATATAAATAATATTGAAGTGTCGGTCGGAGTGTCGGAAGATTCGAAATTAAGGTGGCACAAGTCGCGGGCTCGAACTCGCTGGTGGGCGCGGCCAAAAAGCACGCTGTCTCACCTGGCATCGTGCCCGACAGAGATAGTATCAGTGATGAGCATATCGACACTAGTATTCACGCATGTCTTGTTCGTACGGTGTTCCGAACCGTTATAAAAACGAAGTTACACGAACACGATGCAACATCTATACTAATATAATAAAGCAGAAGACGGTTTTTTGTTTGTTTAAACGTGCTAATCTCTGGAACTACCAGTCCGATTTGAAAAATCTTTTTTTGGATATTATAGCCAGATTCATGTTGAATAGTATAGGCTATACAGCATTAGGCTATATATATGAAGTCAGAAGAAAAAGCGCTGTTATGGTTCGGGATACGTAAATACAATGTTCTAGAAAAATATAGATCTTTACTCCGTCTAAAAAAAGTCCGCGATACCATATGTCTATTTCTTATATATAAGCCACAATTAGGCATTTTGTGACAAAAAAAATGAAAATTTAATTATTAGGCACCTTACGAACCAAAGTTACTTCATTATCAAGACAATTTTATGAAGATAAACTTCGTTCTTTATACCATGTTTATATAGTACATAGTTTAAGAGATAATGTAAAATTAAAATAATTCAATACCTACTTGGCTTGACGCGCAAACAACGCATAACCCCTAGCCCGGTGCGAACTGAGAAGCCAGTATTGAAAGCTTCTATGAGCGAGGTTAGGTTAGCCGTTAGTTCAATCGTTATCTATATATACACAAATAAATAAAATTGAAGTGTCTGTTATAATGTCAAAATAACAGCTTTTTACTAATTGCGTATGAAACTGTATACGGTACTTATAACATTAACACAATTTTTAACATTTTTGTATGTCTGTCAGTCTGTTTGTTGCGGTTAATTTCCAAAACGGCTGGACCGACTTGGGCGGGACTTTCACTAGTAGATAGCTCATGGTATAAGAAGTAACTTAGCCTGCTTAAATTTTAGAAAAATTATTAGGTATCTTTGCAACAATATTAACGCCCTAAACTAAACGCGGACGAAGTCGCGGGGTACAGCTAGTAGCTAAAATAAATTCAAAATTAATTGAGTACTTTTATCTATCTCCCGGGTGAGCGTAGCAATGATTAGTTACATCTTTATTTCTGAACTCTTTCATTTCACGTTGCTATGGTATTTTGAAAGTTTAAATTTAATTAATTAATAAGTATAAGAGGTTGATAGCAAATTTATCAAGAATCATTTCTTGCCTACACACTTTTCATGAATCGTGTACGTTTTTCTTTAAAACTGGAAAAAACCGCGCATAATATGCCGACAGATAAAATAAAAGTACTCCATTAATCATGACAATTTTTCCATACATTACAATCAAATAAAATATTTGATTGCAATTATAAAATGCTTGAACAAGGTGTCATGTCATGCCACGCATCTCGGACACGTGATGACGCGGGTGAATCCACGAAATTATTAGGTATACGTCTGTGGCTCTATATACCTAATATAGATTGCTTATTTTATTATGTTTAGTTTTCCCCGAGTGGTCATGCAGCAAACACTCAAGAGTTCGGCTTCGAACGTGTGTAACTCGATAATTATCCCACGGCAACGAAATACCTGAATAAACGGTATCATATATGATATTTGGCAGCTCCGTGGCGCAGTGGCTTAGCAATGAATTGTTGTACTGGGAGCCGCGGGTTCGAATCAATCGAACAAGTATTTGTATGGTCTACAAATAATTGTTCCGGGTCTGGATGTTTGTAAACTGCCTCCACGATACAGGAGAAAATCCTAGCGTGGGGTAACGTTTTTTTGAAAAAAAAATTCCGGACTATAGCCTATCTCTGAGCAAAATATCATCCAGATCCCTTCAGCCGTTCTGGCGTGATTGAGTAACATACATCCATTCATCCGTCCATCCAAATATCCAAACTTTCGCATTTATAATATTTAGATAATAATCGTAATTGGTCTGCCTACTTATAAATTGTTTTCAAAAATACTTACTTACCTGGCTCCTTTTTTTTTTATATATACTCAATATCACTAAACGTAAACACAGGTTTTTATCAAGACAAGTGACCCATCAAGATTGTTTTCTTAGTACCGACGACCGACGTACCTACCTAAAGTTTACAATTTTGTGGCCACGACGCGGCGAGGTTTTGTGACATTTTGTTGTATTGTTGATTGTAGGTATCTAGGTAATAACAGTAGGTACCTATGAAAATCCCACATAATATACTTTGTTTATCCGCCGCAAAAGTCGTCTAATAAATGATTAAACTGTTTTGTAATTCTTTATTTATTTATAACACTTGCATTGAGAGCCGTGGTAGCTCAGATGGTTAGCGCTCGCTGTAAGTATCACATTACGCGAGCAACCCGGGTTCGATCCCCGTCGGCACCAATGAAATTGTTGCAATTTTATATAGTAATCGAATATAGACTTTACTTTTTTTACTTTTATAATTATATTATATTACAGACGAAAATTTTAAAATATTGTCTTTCGTCCAAAACGCATCATCTCTTTCAATTATATCAATTTCCATGCCGTCTTTTGTCTTTGGCGTCCAAATTACAAAATAGCAAAACTTTTCGTTTCGAATAAAACTCGAATACTTATAAGCGCGCGTCACCGCCTGTGCATGTGTGTGTAAGCATCGTCCTCCCGCACCGCACCGGGGGAGACATTATTCAGTGAGATGCACGATAATTCATAGTAACATGCGCGCGTAAAAAAATACGAAAAGGCCTTTGGAAGAAGGGGTTTTATGAAAAAACCACTGCATTAATCAATTACAAATGAAATTTATTGAGTTCTTCGATAATTTACCTGTATCGGTACCGACTTTGTTTTGGAAATTTTACACTTCTTTTATTACTAATTTACGCCCAAAGTTGTGTTAAAATTGGCAATAAAAACGAATCTTTGGTAGCTCGTAACTTTTTAATAACATTTTATTTTACTATTCTGTTTCCGTACAGACAAATTTAATAATGAGACAAAACGATATCATGTTTAATTTTGGATGTACACTGTCAAAAAGCGGAGTAAAACCCCTCCGAAATTTCTATGGAAATAATGTCGACTAGTGTCACCTTAAGACATGAATACTCATCATTTTTTTGTAAAAAAATCTGTCTATCTGTCCGGACGAACCTTTGCAATGGCTTAACCAAGTGTAATGAAACTTCACGATAGAGAGCAATGCCAGGAGTGATCTAGGCTGTATATCCGAAAAACTTGGAGATGTTTTGAGCTATCGTAAAATTGATAAATCAAATGATCTTTGATGATTATCTTAAATCTAAGTAACGCCACATTAATAGATTCTAACCAAGCGAAGCCTTGACGGGTCGCTAGTCTGATATAAAGAACAATGGCAGACTTTCCTACATAAAATTAGTTGAGAAGAAATGGTAGCATCTATATATCAAAAATATCTTAAAATGTTAAGCGTCAGTCCCTGAGTAACTTTGTCAAAGAATTTTGTCCTGAGAAGGCATCAAAAATAAGATATTTAGATTTGAACCATTTTAGGTTATGTCTTATGTCACTTGGAAAAAGTCGTGCGTCCTGTGGTTGATTAATGTTAGCTTAATACATTTTCAACATAATGTACCTACCTACAAAATTGAGAGTGTTTAGATTATTGTATCTCTATTAAATATTTGTATACTATAAATGTATATTTCTGGCATGGCTTCTGGGCTTTTGTGCCATACGGTGACATTTTGTTTTAGCTAGTGTTGCCATAACATTAAATGGAATTGTTACATAGTACTATGATTGAGAAAATGTATTATTGCAGGAAGTTCTTTGTAATAGACTTATTTTCAACCATATCACTTTTATTTTTATTATTACTGATAGTATATTTATTACTAATAATAACTTCCTATAAAAATATTTTGTGTTTGTGTGTGTTGGTAGTATTACAAAGTGTATACGAAAATAGTATGAATATAGTAAATGGCAATACTTGAATAGTGTAAAATGATTAAAGTCACTTGATATTCCAAAAAATGTATGTTCTTTTCTGTGGCTTTCATTAAAATACATTTTTATTTGAAAATTACAGAAAAATAATTAAACTCATTTTATATACACGTTATTTCTAGACGCAATCATTTTTGTCAACTATTTTTCTGCACTTGTTGTTTACGATGGTATATATAAAAAGTTATATTATGTTCTTTGCATTGAAAAACAGCGGCTGTGGTTCGTCACGCCAAATGCGGTGCTACCTTTTTTCGTTACGTTCGGCAACGTCTATACTTTTTATTATTAATAATAACCTTAAAATAAGAAAACAATTATGTTCAATATGGCGTTGTGCTTATGTGTTCTTTTTTAAGTAAGGTAAACAACTTTTTAAATAACGACAAACAAGTTTACAATTCACCCATTATGTCAATTAAAATTCTTTTAAATCGATTAAATTTTATATATAATTAGATTAAAAACGAGTATAGTAAGTATATTTTCAAAATAAATTATAAAATAAGTTTAGTATGGTTTTAGCTTGGTTTTGGCGTCATTTGAAATGTACGAAGCGGTCCATCATTATCATTTTTTCTTTGTTGGTCTTAAAATATCTTGACACTAACTACACAAATCGGATAGACACAAAAGTATTTTTTTCTCTCAAAAATTTTGTATTTGTTTCTATACTTAGGTAAATTAAAAGTTTAAAAGTAATTTATTTTTTAACTTAATATTACACTAAAATATTTCGTATATGGGTTACTATTTAGCAAGCAAAGAGGAAAGTATTAAGAAAAAATATTGTGACTGACCGTAGTTACCTGGTGCTGCGGGTAGATGGCGACAGTGAGGTGGCTGCGAGCGTCATCGTTCTTCTCCTCGGAATCAGAGTCTGATGTGTGTTCTACGTCTTCTACACGGGCATCGCGCATGTTTATCTGACCGATTGGATTCTGTAAAAGATAAATTATGTGTTAAGGACAGCCTTATGTTAATTATATATTATAATGCTATATTAATTCCTCGTAAAAAATTTCGGACACTTAGGAGTTTTTTTTAACTTATGATTTTAAATCATGATTATAGTTTATTAATATGTTCATCGTTGACATAAACTACTATTATGTTGCTTTGTCGTAACCCCAAAGTATCTATCAGGGAAATCATTACAAATTGTTGAAAACTTTAAAAGTTTGATTTTAACCCTTATACTATATGAAATAAGGTTCAAATACCTGGTCACCGGGCGATTTGAAGTAAAGAAACATTTTTCCGATCAGCACACACCAACTTTTTTTCGCGTGTCCATTTTTGACCTTTGTCAACCAACCCTGAATAGTAGGCTTGTTGTCTTCTTTACTAAGAAGTAATTTTGTGGCGTTTCTTCTTTGTACATTCTGATAAAAAAGAATTAATTTTATGTTGCTAGAGAATTTCAAGCATTTAGTGGCTACATAAGGGTAGTCGGACGTAAGTCAGACGTAAAGTACCTATAGCATCTGCCAAGCGAGGTAACTTTCTTTTATAGAATGGGTGTGACAAACGAGTATACAGTCCACATGATGATAAGTGGATGCTGTGACCCATAGACATCCACATTTATCTTCCATTAAAAATAAAAATGCAGATGCGTTGTTATCCCTGAGAACTACGATGGAATGCCTCATTTTCAGTAAAAAGGGTCTCCGGTTCTCTACACTCACCATACGAAACACAGCAGTGTTAAGCTGCTATTTTACGCTGGTATTCTGTAAGAGCGTGGTCCTTCCCCGGTCCAGCCGACCCATTCGTGCTACAGCCATAATATGACTGCAGCGTGGCTCTACCAAGTAAGAAACTATGGCAAATCCTTCCTTGTATATCAGAAGCAGGCCTATTTAAAGCAGCGGACTGTTTACATAATATCTTTGTTAGATCAATTACATTTTAAAGCAATAAGACTGATTTTAAGGATGCTTTTTGTAATTCGATAAGAATCTTATTTTTTAAAGTGAAACTTCTTATCTATTCTAAGATAATTTTGTTTTATTGAGAAATGAGTGTCACGAAAGGTGATAAAAGTGAAATAAATAAAGGGGAATTGTCTAAAAACCAGGCAGAAAGGATATATTGAATGTCCCCATGCATGCTTTCATTCTCTACCTTTTTCTCATGTTTGGTATTAACTTTCTTAAACAAGTGTCGGTGTACATAGGCGACAGAGAATTCCCAAAGGACCTTGTAGGAAGAAAAACTATTTATAATTGATAAAAAATATTTTTTTATAAAATTTTTAAGACATTTTATTTTTAAGTAATTAAATATAATAGATAAATATATAATTCAAATACAAACAATAATATAATTTTTATTTTTGTAACACCCACATTACTTACGTAATGACTACGAAACGAATTTGTTAGTCGACAGTACAACAATAGTTGTGGATTACTTCTACCAAAAGCCGGTTTAAAGGATATAATATAGATATATATCCTATAGAATTCAGAAGGAAATATTATAATTCCAAGTTATATAGCATTTCTGTTTTATATTACGAGTGTAATTTTTTTTAAATATTCATTTACATTACATATACTCCAGTGGAATAAAATGGAAGACCAGAAATCTACCCTCCAAACCGCAAAACAGAAGGGAGTGCAGTGCTGGTTGGCGGTAGAAATAGATGAGAGAATGGAACCAAATAAAGACCAACTGCTAGGTAGAAAAAGGTACCATCTCAATTTTTTTGTTTATAAAATGTTTAAAAAAATATGCATCGGGTAAATTAATTGTCGTAATATTCTCGCTTTTGATTACATAATTGGAAAATGTTAAATTTATGTGTAAACATTTTCACCTGTAAAACTCTAATCCAATCCTCCATAGTAGCAATACTGTCTGCTGTAAGATAGTAAGTTCGACTCCCCGTGAAGATTTCGAAAGTGGCCGCTCCTTCGTTGCGTGATATTTTACAGGCCTCGCCAAGACCTATTTGACCTTGAGGTTTTCGATTCACTTCAGATTGAGACTTCCAATAGGAAAGCGTGCCGTTCTTGAGGACGAACCTAGAAAAAAAACGTCGATATAAGAATGTCTTGAATTGTTTTTAATCAAAAATATTTAACATCGAAAGACAGGTACAGAAATGTTTATCAATAATGGGTGTAAGATACGTCTAGCTACCCATGAAAGAATTAACCGAGACTATTATAGTGAGATGTGAACACTATTAACGTGTTTAGGTAGTCTAAAAACTACAGAGAGCCAGGCTATGAAGCATTCTATTTCAGTGCTCAGAAGTGAAAACACATCCATAGCTTTCTTTGGTTGGAGTCGATTGCAGGTTTCGATTGGCTGTATGCTCTATTTTATAAACAAGCGTTTTGGTTAAAACAGTCATTAAAAATCAGATTGGGTAAAAAAGATTGAAAAGAAAAACTTTTACATCCCATGTCACATCCACAACTAAGACAAATCTAACGACGACAGTCGTTAAAATCCAACATGTGGTTAAGGTTATAGAGCGTAAGAAATAGACATACATACATACATACACTTGAAAACATTACACAGTAGAGTCGGGAAAATTTTTTTAGATCGATGTAAAGTATCTCACCATCTCTTCCGCCAGGTCTTGAGCTTGCCGCCCAGCTTGGCGAGGTGTCCGCTCTTCTCGAGCGCGTCGTGCCTGCGCGGCGAGTCCGCTCCCGCGCCCCCCGCGCCCCCCAGCCCGCCCGAGCCGCCCCCCACACCGACCAGCGCGAGCGCGCTTCCTGTACCCCCTGCCGCACCCCCCGCACCGCCCGCGCCCCCTGCACAAACCGAGCCCGCCACGCTGGCCCCCACGCTGCGGCACGCGCCTTCACACGAGCCCGCGTCCGGCGGGATCGCGTAGTCGTCCGACATGCCCGATTCGAATGATGTGTCTGATGATACAATATTGGAGTTTAAAAAAAACTTAAGCACCATGCATCGATTTATGAGCTGTGATGATCCTAGTGTTCTCACTAGGATCATCACAGCACATGGACAATTCTAATGAAATTATTATATTGCCATCGGTTTTGATACATCTGCATATTTCAGATTATTCAAACATCCAAAAGTAGAGGAAAACTCAATAAAATTTCATTACATACCTACACGTCAAACTTATAAAAGCATGTTAGAACACATATTTAAAGTATTGCACGACGTGTATGTGTGTTAGTATAAATTTTAAACCTTTTGTTAGATAAGGTCTGCATATTATCTGAGACTTTTTTGTAAAAGTGTATACATTGCCCTATGAAGGAATTAATGACTCTTTGGAGTCGAGTAACTGGTATAACTAACTTGTGCTTGTTCCTAGTATTTACAGAATGTAAATAATATTTTTGTTTTTGTGTACAAACATAAATCTTCGTAAATATATTAAGTAAGTGTAAGTGATTCCTTCGGACCTAGGTTATAAATTGCTCTTATGGCTCTCTTCTGCAAAACAACGATAGTTTTAATGTCAGTCGCATTACCCCATAGCAAGATTCCATATGACATTATGCTATGGAAATAAATAAAATTAGTTAATCTAGTTTGGCAACTGTCCGCCCGCATCTCGGCCCGCACTGCACGATTGCCCCGTCTAGACGCCTTCGATGAACGACTGTTAGTAGCAGCTAGACTGTACTATAACTTTACTACGTTTCATTAAATCAGAAAACACCAGATTCGTATTATTATTATTGTTTTTATTATTACTTAACAGGCCAGCAGTTGCGACAACTGATATAAGCCCGTATCCTATTTTCAAATGTGTAATTATCCTTATTTATTGAAATAATAGCAAGTTGGGCTCCGATTAAAGGAATTCCCCCATAGATCAGCTGTCTTGTTAATATCGATAGTTTTGAAATACTTTACAATATCTCCCGATAATATTTTACGAAATGCAAATTGTTTGCGTGTGTGAGCGTACCGTATAGTGGTGTTGTAAGAATATTCACTACCTCATATCGACCCGTGGGTGCCATAAAAGGCAGAGGGAAACGAAGGGAAGATGGCAGCAGCGTCTTCCTAATAACAACTAAGAAATAAGAAGCTGCGGTTGCAAACTTGCCTGCCTAGCGTACCAACTATCGTAAATATATCCCATGAGGCAATCTATGATGGGGTGGGGTCTAGGTTACTTTCGATAGACTGTAAGAGTGATGGTGAACATTGCGCTTGAAAGCGCCGTTAAAGGAAACTAGGGGAAATGCAGGAAAATCTCTTATGTAACAACTTTTGCTTCACTGGGAACCACAAGACCAAAAAGTATTTCTAATAATTGACTCTGGATGAAATAAAACTGAAAAACTCAATGGATTTCATTCCTGTAAGTCCGAATGTAATCCATATATTTTTAATATAAATAACATTCGAAAATAAGATATATATTTTAAAAGAGGTACATACCCCTAAAGAAAGTTAAGATATAGTACATAGACCTGGTCTGCTTTGAAATATCTGAATTTGTATTTAACTGTAAAAAGTTCGGACTTCAGACTGAAACTCATCGCTGCACCTACCGGAAAGCGCAAAACGATCGCTTGTAAATAATAAGTTTTATCAGCAACTCACACTGACCTCTGGTCTTGCTCTGTTTGCTGGGCGAACCGCTACTGGATCGCTTGGCCGGGCTCAGGCTCGAGCTGGTCTTGACGCTCTTGGAGGGGCTGCTGGCGCTGAGGCTGGTGTCGGAGGAGCTGCACTGGCCGTTGGTGTTGATGTTGTGCAGCGCGTGCCCGCTCTGCTGTATGGAGGCCGGCAGCACGCCGGTCATGTTCACGTTGTTGATTGGTATTTGGCTCGACGAATGCCCGCCTGCGGGGTGGTGAACACTAATGTTGATAATCGATTGTTTTTATATAGCCTATCGGATATTCTTAAGGTTCTTTTTTTATTACCAAATAAGGGTGACAAACGAGCACACAGTTCACCTGATGTCAAGTGATTGCTCGAATAAGAACCAAATGTCGATGGCCTTGTCACCCGTTGAGGACTAAGATGCAATACCTCGTTTCCAGTAAAAAAGGTCTCCAGTTCATTTTTTTATAGAATAATGGTGACTAACAAACACACAGTTCACCTTAAGGTAAGTGGATGGTGTGACCTATAGACATCTACATCTATCTTCGATTAAGAATCAAAATGCAGATGAGTTGTTACCCCTGAGGACTAAGATGGAATGACTCGATTCTAGTAAAAAGGGCCTCCAGTTCTCTACACTCATCATACGAAACACAGCAGCATCAAGCTGCTATTTAACGCTGGTATTGTGAGAGCGTGGTCCTGGACCCCGGTCGAGCCGGCCAATTCGTCCTACAACCAAAATATTGCTGCTGTTTTGTTCTACCACATATAAGTTCAAAATTATAAACAAAAACATTAATTACCATATGGATTGTGATGCGGGGTGTTCTGAACAGTGACGCCCATTGACTCCTCGCCATCGGAAGAGTCATCAGAAGAATCCCCGGTAAATGGCATTGATCTTATTTGACTGGCACGCTGTAAGAACAAATATATTTTTATATGTATAGTATAAAGGTTTCATTCATACATTTATTACAGCCTATTGTGCCAGCACTGTCGTCGCGCTGTAAGCGAAACGCATTGAAGCCTAAATCGCGCTACCAAAGTTCAGAAGTTATTATATAGTATATTATATATTGAACAGCTCTGAAATAACACGGCAACGCTCCGCTCCCCGGACCCATCACCTTACCCAGCGGGAGATCACTCCTTTTCCTTTCACGACTAAACTGCTGACCAACCGACATGATTTGAACACGCAACATGCAACCTTCGGAAACTCAACGTTCAAGGTTTCGTCATCGTCCTCAAGTACCCCATCCATTCGCTACCGAGCAGATATTGTCGGCAGTCTTCAGATCCTGCAAGTCATCTAGCTTTACAAGTTTCATTGCAGCACTGGAATAATGCTTCTTGTTCCTTCACGCTACTCTCTGCGTTTAGTGTTCGGCATGGCCTTGAGCTTTATTGCTAGCTTCTGCTTCACGGTACTCTCGCAGATTATTTGCCTTCTTCTCGACTCACCGCACACTACAAGGCAATTTCCTGCCACTTGCACATTCGTCGAAATCTAGACTAGCACTATCGACCTCCGGTCTGAGAATGAGGGTGATGTGGCAGCACTGTCGTCGAGCTGTAAGCGAAACGCACCGAAGCCTAAATCGCGCTATCAAAGTCTGAAGTTGTTAACCCGCTATATATTGAACAGCTCCGAAATAACACCCGGAGCGTTGGCCGCTCCCCGGGACGGTCACCTTGCTCGGCGGGAGATCTTTATTCCTTCCATAACTAAACTATTAAATCTCTATAGCTGAACATACGCCACCGGTATGTTTTGCTCATAATCATCATCATTATCATCACAGTCCTTCTGTCTACTGCTGAACATAGGCCTCCCACAAGAAATGCCACAAAGCACGGTCCTGAGCCACCTGCATCCATCGGATTCCTGCATGTCTTACCAGGTCATCATCCCATCTAGTGGGGGGCCGTATACCTACATTTCGCCTACCTGTACGAGGATGCCACTCGAGAACCCTTTTTCCCCACCGGTTGTCGCTTCTGCGAGCTATATGGTCGGCCCATATCCACTTCAGCTTACTAATCCGTGGGTCTATGTCGGTCCCTCAGGTTCTACTGCAGATATCCCCATCTCTAAGTTTATCACGCAGAAAAACTCCGAGCATAGCGCTTTCCATAGCTCGCGTAATTTGCTCATAATTACATAATTGCAACACTTGGCGTGCGGTTTGGCAACCAATAATTTTTATTATTCCGAGCTATTATCAGGAAAATTCTCCTGCCCACCTTTGGTTCCAGGATCCCCACAGTCGCCTCTAATGACATTCACGAGATGATATGGGGTAACGCATTATCTTACGCATCTATATGTCAGTATAGATTGGGCACACGTAACCGCATAGTGGCGATTATTTATTATTATCATTACGTTATTTCGCTCGAGTGTGCCGTGAGAGGAGACTAAGAGAGATGTAGGAAAATCTCATGGCATGCGATAGATGGCGGTATACTTTCACGATATGCCAGATATAAATACCCAGACCGCCGACGGAGAGCTGTGTCAAAGAATCTAAGATACAAAACATCTGCAACTGCGATCGACCATCTGCCTGCCAAGCGTGGTGTTTACAGCAAACGAAATAGTCCTAAAATTAGCAAAAGACATAGACCTCTATATTCAAGGATACTTTGTTAGCTTCTCCATCTTTTTTTTATCAGACCGCTACAGCCTCATAAAAAACAAAAACTTATATGACAGTGACCCATAAATACCAACAGAATGTCCCATACATTCCGTTCAGTAAATACACTTAGACTAAGATAATATTTAGCAAATCTAATCGAGAACAACTTGGTAAAATACGCTTTTGAATGGATAATTAAACAAAGTACTCACCCCTTTAACTGTGGCATACACCGGTACAGATAGGTCCTGGTAACTTGTTGACTCGTGCATGGGCCGAGGGCAAGGAGGAGGGCTCAGTTCCTCTTCTACTGATTGTTGGAGACCATCATCCGCCACCTTGGACACATATACAAAAATATTAAGAAGTTTAGATACTTATAATACGTACATAATATAATAGGTACATAACATATCCAAAACAAATGGTAATAAAAAATGGTAAATATGTTTAAGCCTAAGAAAAACGAAGTATGAAAAATGGATGTGAGTGATGCGATACGCGTCGAATACACACACGCAAGCATACTCGAATGTATGTACATGCATATGCTCGCTTGTTTGTACGTACGTACCACGGAGCAAATACAAAGTGGAGACGGCCTAAGTAACTGTGCAATGTGATATAATTAATAGAATCAGGCGTTACTTTGCGGAAATCCATTATATAAAAACTTTTAGAAAAATTTACTTCGCAAATATCCGCGTTATAAAATAAAATGATGTGTCTTACCTAGTGTGAAGAGCACCTCCCGCCCTCCCTCAATGGCGTGCACTATCCCCGTCACCACTAATCCCAGCACCGCTACTCCCAACACCACTACACTAGGCAAGGCACACCACTGACGATAACACGACACGTGTTTCGCCTCTACACGAGGCATCCTCAGGTGACATAGACTCTACGGTGGCTAACCGCTAAGTGAGCGGCGAGCCAAAACAAGTGCCTTTTATACAAACCGATGACACAACCGCTCTCTACTTAAGGAGCGAGCGACTGCGTCATGCGATAAAACATGCGACGAAGTGTTGTGTTTTATAGTGTAAAAACTACTCAGATATACGCTCTGATGCTTTGGATGGACATTTCATTTGTAAGTAGTAATTTTATACCTAACTTATTAAAATCCTTCTAGAAAAATCTCTGCGTCAGCTTTGAAATATAATTAAATATATTCGACACTAGATGGCGACACTTTGTGTCATGAAAACTAAAAATAAAAAAGGTAAGTAGAGCTCAGTATTGGTAAAATAATCATACGAAGGTGTTGAAATTTGTTTTGCATTCAGTCCTAAAGAATTTTTAATCGCCAAAATTATTATTTTTATAGCTTTTATAATAATTTTGTGAACAGGCCAGCATCTATCGTCAAGGTAGCTAAACTACATTGCAACATCGATATAGAACGATGCGAGTAGTTTTACTGTTTATCGGTAGATAGAAAACTAGTCAAGTGGGCGGGGCTTAACACCCCCTCACCCCGCAAATAGTCACGAGTTGTTACATAGTGAAATCTAATTACAACACCTCCTTTTAGTATTTGCTCTGTGGCTCGCACGCACGCACACATGCACGCTGGCACAGACGAACAGACAAAATATGGACAACGTAATTGAGACAAGTAAGTGTACGATACGACGTAGGGATCTTTAAGAAAAGAGCCTACTGCATTTTAAAAGGCTGGCAACGCACCTGCAATCCCCCTGGTGTTGCAGTTTGTTCATCGTTGGCAGTAATTACTTAACATTAAGGGAGATGCATGCGCCTATGATGATATTATTGAGGCACTAGCTACATGGATTTATGCTTTATAGTGTCTCTACCGGTTCTGAGCCTGAAGTGATCGTCTCGTTCATTCTAACGTAAGACCTACTTTAGAATGAATGTCCCTAGAACCTTTTTCTTATAACAGTTATATGTAAATATGGGATTTATGATGCGGTTTGTCTAGATTCTAGAACAAAAATTATTGTTCCACCTTAAAATATGATTAAATGCAATAATTTCACCTGATATATTTTTGCTTCCCAACTCGGGAAGCGATGCAAAGGTGGTGTGGGCGGACGAGGGTTTTCTGACGTGGAACTCTCACCAGTAGAGGAACCTCCGCGGCTGTTGCCTTGAACCACCACATTCACTGCGCCCTGCCATGCTGGTGTGCGTTCTGTAGAAACAATATATTAATCTCTGTTATTAAAACCTCGGATAAAAGAATATCTCTATCAGGTAAAATAATCTTTTATAATAAAAAAATAATCTCTATCAGGTAAAGAGGTTTCTTAGAGAACAATTTTGTTACTAGTTATCTTTGCACATACCTCTGCTTGGAGTATAAATTTCTGCGTAATCATGCGTAGTATCACCGTCCGTTGAAGTATTAGGAGTTGTCGGCAATACTACTAAATTTTCAACGGCAGTCTGCAAAGAATATAGAACAAAATCAATTGCAGAGTTGAATACAAAAACAAAATATGGTAAAAATTTAGAAAGACACATTTCAATGTAAGAACTTATTTCATTCATAGAAAGAAGAAAGAAACAGATTTTATTTGGCACATGCAACACACTCAGGCGGATTACATAAAACACACAACATTTAAGTAGTCATACAAACAAAAAAAAAATAGGTCTCATGTTAATATGGGACTTAAATAACACAAGTGGTAAAATAGAAATAATTGTACAACCGATTTCAATACAAATTATTAAGGATACCTAACTCAAAAACTACTGGTCAGACCTTGATAAATTTTTTTCATGGGACCACATGAGAAGTACCAACTTTCAAATTAAAGAGAATAATCAAAATCGGTTCACAGAGAAAAAAGTTATGAGTTAACACACATTAAAAAAAACATACAGTCGAATTGAGTACCTCCTCCTCTTTCAAGCCGGTTAAAAATAAGGTGGCAACTGCATTACTTGCCCAGCATGTCGTAAAAGACGACTAATGGGTATATTGAGTTTGTGACTGTGTAGGTGATGAGCTAGCCACCAATCACTTCTTTCATAATTTTCCATCTACTTCCCTATTTTTTTTCGAGTAAATGTTGGTCCGAGTGACTCGCTGCTCTTTGAACTCTGCCTACCGCCCATAATATGGCTTTACACTTAAAACTTCTGACTAGACTAAGTTGCATACCGCTAAATCGTCGGCGAGTAAGCTGGCCGTCGTTCGCTCGTCCATTGTTCGGTTCATCGTGTTCAAAGCCACCTGATTAGATGCGGTCACGTTGCTTTGCATCAAGTTGGTTGCGCCTATTGAGAGATTGCGCCTGTGCCGCACCGGAGTACTATAGTGCGGCTCTGATGAAGTTAGTGGCAGCTGAGGAAGGCAAAGAGATAAGGATAAATTTTCAGCTATATGAAGGCTTAAAATAATTTCTCATTTTTATTTGCATTTTTAGAATTATTTTTTTATATTTTTATCACAGAGAGATTGACAAATGTTTTTGATATGTCTTGTATTACGATTGCCAATGCGTTTACTTAGCATAGCGTCATAAATCCTCCGTAGTATGGAAAAGGCTGATGTCCGGCACTGTAGTGTTATATGCTGATAAAGAATTATAATAATACTTAACACGTTGATTCAGAACTTACACAATTCTGAATGAAATTTTTAATTCATATTTATTGTGTCTATGCAAAAATTTTTAATCAATTCATGTAAGTCTTTGTATCTAAAGTATGAACTCTATGTAGTGTCACATAAAAAAAATATTTTGTGTTTTTCTATTAAAATACTGAACAGCTATGAAAATATAGTAAAAGTAAGTGCGAAATAAATGGTCACAATTATTGTATATTATTAAACAATATAATTCCTAAAATATAATGTTAATGATTAATAAAAAATAATAATAATGATTCTCACATCTTTGAATTTGTTTATGTTAGGTTAATAATTCAAGTTGTTAACTCTTAGATTTGTTTTTGAATATTTCACATGCGTTCATCTACAATTAGTTGTGCCGTATGAAACATTTGTGCGACGGAGTAATAATTGTTAGTAAACTTTGAATTTATAGATATATTTACTAATAACCTCCTTTTCAAATAAACGGAAAAAAATGTGACCTTAAAGAAAAATGTAGGTGAAACAGCGTATGCAAGAAGAAACTTAAATAGGTGCAGTGAACATATAAAAATTATTATACATGAAAATGCTGGCAACAAAAACAAGTAGCATCCTACTGGCAACACCAATATATCCAACTGCTACCTGAGGCCCCTCAAGGCTTTCTGATCGACGTCTGTTCGCAGCCAATAGGCTGGAGGAAGTCCTGGAGCCTTCCTCAGTCCTCACTTCAAAGGAAAGACTAGCTCGAGTCGGTAGAAACTGGGGATTGAATATTTCAAATAATTCACTGTCACCTTGATGTAGTAATTTATATATAAATATATCGGGTATATTGTCATATCCAATTTATATGACAATTTTATTGATACATATAAATCAACTGCAAAAATGTGTAATTATGAACTCTTAAAACTTACAACATAATACCATTGTTAGAATCTAGGATTTCATTATTTTGTATTTTATGATTCTATTACAATATTGACCTTAAAAACAACAAGACATAGGTAATAACTAAAGAAAAAGCCCTATAAATTAAAATGCAATGAGATTATGCATCAGTAATATTATTTCGAAGTTATGATTGGAAATTAGAATTAAAAAAAATATTTGTATGAAAATATAAAAAAAACCTGTATGTCTAATATCAAATGAGAAAAACTGTGGTAGGCTGAAACATTACATATATACATATAACATTACATACATACTATTTCCAAATAGATATTCTATTTTCATTGTAGTAGCAATATAAGTACACATTTTTAATTACCTGAGATTATAACGTTTTTGTTTTTCAATCAATAAAAATGCTATTGTGAATAAAAAAAAATATAATAAAAAAACATGCGTGAGTGTCGTGGTACACTCGGTTGGAACGAAGTTCCTTTCGTAGTATTATTATTGATAAACGTATTATATTATTGATTAACAAATACAAATAAATTAATTGCTAGCGTCTATTAAAATGAATCGTCATTCAAAATAATATTTCTTTCATGGCAATATAGAAAAAAGTGCGAGGGAGATGCATATTATTCCATCTCGCTCGCACTATAGAAAGGATCTTGACGGAAAAATCTTACACTTTTTCTCGCCTAGTCCGCCAAATTCGTACCGTGCGATAAGGAACTTCTTTCCAATATAAAATTACCTGTCTTTGCAATAATTGTCCTTTTTCTATCTAAATGACCAAATTCAACAGCTATTCTCTATTTAGTCACTTTTGAGGGCCATTCATTGGCCATTGTTTTTCATAAAATAAAAGGAATAAACTAACTATCTGGTGGACAATGTGCTCGCTTGTTATCCTTATTTTATATAAAAGTATTGTGTATGACATTCTTCCATACATAAAATATGTTACATGTTATTGAGAAGTCAGTAACAAGCCAACAACTATAGATTTAGTTAACACTCACATTACAATTTCTGCTCCCTTGAGTGGCTATATGATTTCTGAGCAGCTCTAATTGCTGGTTACAGCGGTCGTTTTGTTCTCTCAACAGCTGATTTTGCTGTTCAAGCTCTCGGAGTTTATTGGTCACCCACTCTTTAATACGAGCGGCCTTTGCTTCTACTTGCTTCGCGTCTTGGAGTCGCAGCTGCTTCTGTAAAAATAAATCTGATTAAGCCACATATGATAGATAATGAATGATATGTACTTGTATTAATATTTTTTTTAAATTGACTGTGTAGTAGTGGTGTAAGAATATCAACTACTCTATACCATCCCATGGGAGTAGTAAAAGGCGATAGAGGGAAATAAACCAAAAGATCGACAAATAAAAATAAAAAGTGCGGTTGCTGACCCGCCTCTGCCAAGCTTAGCAACTATGGCAAATATCTTATGAGACAATCTATAAGGCAGACCTGTATTCAACGGTTGACTTATTATAGGCTGTAACGGTAACTTACATGTTATATTACATGCTTTACTCGTATTAGCTTAATCTAAGTACATGTATATATGAATATAATGGAATTTTATAATTTAGTTTTCACTGACTTCTAGACATCTGAATAATTTAAAATTTAGCAAACATCATCATCACTACAGCCCATCACAAGTCCACTGCTGAACATAGACCTCACCCAAGGAATGCCACAGAGCATGGTCCCGAGCCACCTGCATCCATTGAATTTTTGCATGTCTTACTAGGTCGTCACTCCATCTAGTGGGGGGACATCCTACACTTCGCCTGCCGGTACGAGGCTGCCACTCGAGAACCTTTCTTCCCTATCGGTTGTCGGTTCTTCGAGCTATATGGCTGGCCCATTGCCTCTTCAGGTTACTAATCTGTTGGACTATGTCAGATACTCGGTTAGCAAACATATTAAGAACTAATGATAATACAATAGTTTTATGACTATGACCTAGTGTTTTCGTTAGAATCATCACAGTTCATGATCCATGCATTATGTATAAGTTGTTTTAAAGTCTATAGCTATTTATTTTTATTTAACAATTAGCAATCCACTATTTTTTGGATCTTGATAAGAGCGCCACCTACCGGGTCCAAATGTGAATTTAAGGCATCTAGGGTCCCATTCAAGCACACACAAAGCCGTATTTGAATTTTAGACAGACTAACAGACAGCAATTGATTTTTATATATAGAGATAATGATATTTCTGTAATTGATATTTTCTAATAAATACAATAATATTTTTTGATCTCGTAGCTATAAATGTCAAGTTTTGAAAAAATCTCAGTCTAGTGAATGTTGTATAAAAAATATGTGTTTGGGAGAGTATCTCTTCATTATTGATTTAATTTTACGTGGTAGAGCCATGCTCTGGCTATATTAATAGTATAGTTGTAGCACGAATGGGTCGGCTCGGCCGGGGAAGGACCACGCTCTCACAGAATACCAGCGTAAAATAGCAGCTTAATGTAACGTAACGTATGGTGAGTGTAGAGAACCGGAGACCCTTTTTACTGGACAAGAGGCATTCTATCTTAGTCCTCACGGGTGACAACGCATCTGCTTTTTAATTCGTAAACGAAGATAGATGTAGATGTCTATGGGCCACAGCAACCACTTACCATCAGGTGGGCTGTGTGCTCGTTTGTCACCATTATTCTATAAAAAAAAAACATTGACACAATAATTAATACTAAAAGTTACACTATTGTTTTTTACTCTTTTTTAGTTTTCTGTTCTCAGTCTATATTTATTTAAGCAGTAGAAAACTCATTACTGTTTTTTTTTAATTTCCCATACTTAGTTGAACAAGCAACTGAATAAGTCAGAAGGCAGCTTAGCATTCTTTTACATATTTGTATAAATAGTAATAGAAACACAGTTGAAATCTAGTATAATGACATGAAAGGGGCAACCAATAGGTATGCTAGATCTGATAGTATAGGCAATATGCATACAAGTTAATAATATTTAATTAATATATACTGTTTCTCTTTCATCATTATTGTCATTACCTATTACAAGTGCACTGCCAAACGTAGGCCCCTACACCAAGGAATGACAGTGTCATCAGGACCGTACTTTGTTTCATTATGACACAAAGTACGGTCCCGAGCCATCTGCATCCATCGACTTCTTGCATCTCTTACCACATCATCACTATTTCGTGTGGGGCCATCCTACACTTCGCTAACCGGTACAAGGTTCTTCAATTTTTATGGTAGACCAGTTATCACTTTAGTTTATTGATCAGTTAGTTAGTTAACGACGGGCTGTTTTCTGCAACTCAGTTGTGTGAGCAGGAATAATGTGATTATTCGAGCCATGAAATCTCCCCGAAGAAGTTCAACATCTTTCAAGTTCAAGTCCTTTCATGTTGCAAACAACTTTGGGGAGTGATCCCGGAGTGCTGAGAAGAGCTTATTGATTTGTTGGGCTATGTTGGTTACTCTTGTTCTACTGCAGATATCTTCATTACAAAGTCTATTATATGTTTTATCTAACGGTTTCTGTTTTAATGGACTAATTTGCAAATTAAAATAATTTGTGTTTATGTTGTTTACATGGGGAACTGCTTTGGGCATGCCATTTCGTCACAATAACCGATCCGTGATTTTAAGTGATGTCAGTATATCTGCCCTTGTATCAATATTATCTTGAAGTGAATTTTAGCTATCATTTCTATTAAATAACAATATTAGGTGTAGAAGGAGCGTGCTTCAAAACATTATTTAGCAACTGTGGCATATTCCAATAATGTTAGGTTGGGTTCCTGACAGCAAAATTTGTCACTGAAGAAACTCCTGGTGCTCCTAACTCATTTTATTGGAAAATATTTTGTTCATTAACTACATGGTAGAGTCATGCTGCAGCTATATTATGGTTGTAGAACTAATGGGTCGGCTCAACGAGGGAAGGACCACACTGTCATAGAACACCAGTTAAAAATAGCAGCTTAATGCTGTTGTGTCTCCTATGGTGAGTGTAGGGAACCGAAGAACTTTTTTACTGTCTCTTACTACCTTAGTCCTCAGGCGTAACACTACATTTTGATTCTTAATTGAGAAATAAAAAAAAAATTGAGAAAGGAATAAATGTAGATGGATGTTTCCATAAAATTAGAACCAGTTTTGAAAGTATTTTGTCTTCATTATATTTAAGATTCTATTGCATTTCCTAATAATGTATATAATGGATGATTAATTTATTATGTCATACCTAAAAAGGCTAGTCACTTTATGTAGTATTTAATGAGAAATTTAGAGTTTTGCAAATTTAGGCATCTAGGGACTTACTGTTATAGTTAGGGACTGATGAACAATAACAATATTATAATAAAATAAAATATGTATAGACTTTGAGATATAATTATCTATATTTTCATGTACAACACAGTACAAATTTCACGGTCCATAAGTTTAGGAGGCATGGCCCAGAATGGACATAATCGACAAAATAATGAATACCTAATTGTCAGAGTATTTGTTCGAATAAACTTCTTGTGCAAATTTTTCAAAGTGTCCAACAAATACTGTTTTTGTTGTTTTGATTCCATTGTGAGTAATACACTCCTTTTTTCCTACTGCAGTGCGTCTATTACTATCCATTTTTCTTAGCTTTAATTTTATTTTTGAAAATATTGCACTGCAACTTACATGTTATACAGTTATTGCCGAAAAGGCAAAAGTTTATATTTGTCAACATTTGTGCCATACAAAAGCCGTTTGAAATTGGATTTCTCTTGATGAGTTTTAGCTTTTGAAATATTTTCTATAATTTAGGCTTGCAAAACATCGTTCCCTTCATTTTTCACCAATTCTCTACTTTGATTAGGATCTTCACTCATATTATGCCACGAAATTTCAAGATCCGTTACTGACTAGGGACTGATGACTAAAGTTGAGGACACTAGTTTTGACTTTAGGAAACATATTTATGGTTTTTTTATTTACAAAATTTGATGAAATTAGTTTGAAGTACTTTAATATTTAACAATTGTAAAGATAATTAAAGTATAAATTAATTGTTTTTTGAGATATGGATGCCCAAACATAAAATTTCGGTGCATAGACATGGCTAGGGACTGATATTTGGAGCCAATAAAAATGATTACTTGAGTGTAGTATATTATTATTATAAACAAAGTTTGGGGAATAAATAAAACACATTCTGAATTGTTACTTAGCAATCTTAAAATAAAATAATTATTAATTATATCAAGTGGAAAGTTGCCCGATTTTTGTGGAAACACCCAGATGTCTATAGGCCACACAGTAGCCCTTCACCATCATTTGGACTGTGTGCTCGTTTGTCACCCAAAAACAGCATTTAATGTGCTGCATAACAATATATTTTTGTCATATTGAATATTACCTAGTTGTAATTTGGTGTATTGTAAATGATACAATAAAATCCGTAAAAATTAGAATCATTCAACTATTTTTTGTGTCATAATGATGTAAGCAAACAGTGCAATTAATTTTCTGTACTTTGTAACATATTTTAAAAAAGGATTTCCATTTGAATTGTATTGATGTTTCTTGAAAATAACCAATTAGAATTTAAGTATAATTAGTATAAGTAATAGATAAATGTGATATGATCGCAATTACAGCAGTGAATTCAAAACATTTAACATATTTAAATTAGTAAGTAACATTTTTTTCTGAGTATACAAAAAGGGGAAAGTTTTATTCTTAATATTTTAAATGAATTTGTGATTTCTGTCCAGATATGGTTTTAATAACCTATTCTATTACACAAATATCATACAGTTTAAAGTAAAAAACGATAAATAAATAAACATACTTAAAACTTTCTACAAAAACCAAACTACTTAATAAAAAGCATTACCTGCATTTTGTTTCCTTCTGTATCACATTCTTTGTAGCAAGTTTCACTTTAAAATGTTCATAATAAATAAATAAATGGTATGTTAATTCAAAAACCTACTACTATTTACATTTTTATTGATAAATTTATCATGGTTTAAAAAATTGAAATCGTAAACAAAGCTCAGACGTCAAATCAGTTTCTAATAAATGACGTTGTCGCTTGACGTTTATATTGTGAATTTGTGACGGACGCAGACAGACAGATACTATGTCTATGAGACAGACCTACGAGAAATATCCTGCAATATTGTTTGATTTTTTGAGTAATCGGTAATACTAGAGAAAGAACTCTAATGACGTTAATTTAACAGTTACGGGTAATAGCGAAACCGGTTATGGTGCTTCTGCGTTCAACTAGGGCTGGTTATAGTTACCAAACGACATGAAAAAATATTTTTTCTTCATATTATACCTTCATAGCAGTAGTAAGAACCTACCTGGTTACCGCAAAGATAAAAAATGTTATCAGTTAATGAAAACATATAAAAAATAATTTTACCCATTGAATTGTATAGTTTATAAAGAAACTACGAAACGCACGTACGAAATGGTCACACCGCCGCCACCAATAAAATTGTTACTTGCAATTTAATAAAAGTTGATTTATTAGCTTTTCAACCGACTTCAAAAAGGAGGAGATGTTTACAATTCGTCGGAATCTTTTTTTTATGTATGTTATAATGAGGGCTAATAATTTTCTGCTCACCAGATGTCGCTAGTTGACACTGAGGTAAAGTTTTTTGTTACACAATGTAATTTAATTGAGAAGTTGGTTTTTAATAAAAGTTTATCAGTTTCTAGAGTATTATATTAATACACAAAACAATGCCTCAGCCTCAGTGGTTTACTCTTTAATTCTTTGCACATTTAAAAAAATTCTATTTTTATGAATATCTGTGGTTTGGTTTATTTATTTTTAATGATATGAATTTAAAATATAGCTAATAGTACAGAATAAAACAATAACCTTTACATTTTCGAAATTTCCGAATATTAATTAATTTAATTTTCCGAACAAATTAACACCCCAGCTATGAAATTTGTCAAATATTATACCTCACTTTCTAGTGGCGCCACTCTGGTGGCAGAAAAAGTGGTGGATGCTCTCATTACTCGAAGACGTCTGAAATGATTTGTTTCAAAGGGTATACATATACTTCCCAGGTGGTCCCATTTAAATTTTATCGTAATTAGTTAGTAAAAGGTTTTAAAAAATCAATAATAAATTATATTTATATAATTTTATATTTATATAGCACGAATGGGTCGGCTCGACCGGGGAAGGACCACGCTCTCACAGAATACCAGCGTAAAATAGCAGCTTAACGCTGCTGTGTTTCGTATGGTGTGTGTAGAGAACCGGAGACCTTTTTTACTGGAAATGAGGCATTCCATCTTAGTCCTCACGGGTGACAACGCATCTGCATTTTGATTCTTAATCGAAGATAAATGTAGATGTCTATGGGCCACAGCAACCACTTACCATCAGGTGGACTGTGTGCTCGTTTGTCACCCTTATCCTATATAAAAAAAATTATGTTGAAGTCGGTTGTACAATTTTTTTAAATTTTACCACTTGTTTCAATCTTATTAACATATTAAGTTCGTCGACGATGTAATATTAAGAACGTCGCGTTTCCCACGCAAAAAGTGAAATTGCAACGAATTCCATAATGTTAACAATTAACGTTAAATTTATCGATAAAATGACGTGTAACGGTACTTATGTTTACGGTTAGCACGTTTAACGTTAAATCATCTAAAATTGTACATAGTTATAACGCTACCATTATAGCTGTATTCTGAATGATGAGTTTCGAGTTTAAAGAGATGGAAGCAATAGTAAAGCGTGTTAATGAGTGAAGAGACGTTTGAATTAAATGAAATAGGAATTCGAGAAGAAGAGGAAAGAGATAGGGAGACAAGTATAGATGAAATAATGAAAGCAATGACAAGCATGAAAGCAGGTAAGGCAGCCGGATATGATAGAGTATTACTCGAAATGCTAAGGAGAGGGAGTGGTGGCAGGCCTGCTGTACACCTTGTTTAATTTATGTTGGGAACTGAAGCGGGTACCGGGAAACTGGGGCAAAGCTGTGATAGTGCCAATATATAAAGGAAAAGGGTCGCAGCGGGACTGTAAAAACTACAGTGGTATCAGCCTTCTTAGCATTGTGGGAATACTGCTACGGTACTAATTACTAGTAATTGAAAGAGTTATGAAAGAAACTGATGGAAAATTTTGGGATGTGCAAGCTGGATTTAGAAAGGGAATGGGGTGTACAGATCAAGTCTTTTTCATGCGCATGATCGCGGAGAAGTTTTTGGCCAAAAACCAAAATGTTTTTTGTGCATTCATGGACTTTAAAAGATTGAGAGTGGACAGGGATGTATTATGGCAAACACTGAACTCATTTAGGTTGAGCGCTGGGTTGATACAGGCATTAAAGTCTCATTATAGGGACTCTAGTGCTTATGTCAGGATCAACGGGGACTACCCGGACTGGTTAGGTATCCATAAAGGTGTTAGACAGGGCTGTGTGGCTTCTCCGTGGCTGTTCAAACTATTTATGGACAGTTGTTTGGAAAATTTCAAAGTTAAAGAATGCGGGTTAAGAATGAGTGAGTTAACCGTAAAATGCCTTTTGTACGCCGATGATAAAGTTATATTTGTGTCGTCGACGGCCTAGTTGCAAATGATGGTTACATTAATGAACAGGTCATTAAAAGAAAGGGGAATAAAAGTGAACGAAATGAAATGAAATAAGAATAGAAGGGGAGTTGGTGCAGCAAGTAGATGAGTTTGTGTATTTAGGATGTGTATCAAGCAGGGATGGTATATATGATAAGTATATGGAACAACGAGTGAACGCAGGAAATGGAGCTCTACACTCTATTGTGGAAAGTCAGAATGTGTCAAAAAAGTCACGTATAGCAATTCATAGTGCTGTGTTAGTAACGATTAAGAACGAGAGTAGAATAAAATTTTAATGCTGTAGAAACTGCTGGGCTGAATCTGAAAATTTGAATGACAGGGTGAGAAATTGTGTAATAAGCTGATAAGAGAAGAGTGTTGTTTGTAAGATAATGTTGTGACCAGGATTAAGAAAGGAAAGCTTCGGTGGTTTGGTCATGGAGAAAGAATGAACGAGGAAAGAGTAGCAAAGCAAATTTATGTTGTAGGAGTGAACGGCAGAGTCGGGAAGGGACGCCCTAGGCGAAAGTTTATCGACCAAATTGGCGATATATTGAAAATGGGTCAAATTAAGAGTACCCTTCATCGACGTGCATATATGCGTAGATATATGTATGTGGAGGAGGCGAGAGAGGTGTGTCAGGATCGTGTCAAATGGAAGTCCGTAGTCTCTGCCTACCCCTCTAGGTGACAGGCGTGAGTGTTTAAGTTAAATATGTATATGTTATAACGCTACCCTTGTTTGTTTGGCACGTTACCACCAATGTATGTATATAATTACCGGTATTTCAAGCCCTGCGTTAAGCAGATGATTTATGATCGCAAACAAAGATCTGATATTTATCACCACTGTGCGATGTACTAGGAGCTTTCTTCCTTGTACGACTTCATAATAGAACCTTTTACATTACACGATTTTTCCGGACCTATACGACTTAGGGACTTTCAAAAAACCTTTCTTAATTATTATACGTAATACTGAAAAATTTTTTTTTTCAATTTCCAATCACCAGTGATACGCTGATACGATACCTGTTCTTCGATTTGCCCTTCTAGTCGCGAGATGGCTCTCGGTGCTCCATCAGCGCCCGCCGGCCACTCGCAAAGCCGCTGCTCCATGGCGCGGACCTGAAATAAAAGGAATTATTTTTAAAATCCATCACGATTAGTGGTATCTCGGTATCACTTTATTCTGTGGTATCACTATCATATTTAGGTGAGATTCCTTAACATAACATTTTAAAATTAAACCAATAGCACCTTAGGTTTAGGTATTTGTGCTTTTTATTAGTTTAAAATTATTTCTTAAGACAAGTATACAGCCAATGACGTAAAATATGTTGAGATACAACCACCAACAATTCTTTGGTGGATACAATTCAAAATGATGAAATACATTGGAGATCCTAGATTACGGATATAGCCTTCAGAGATTGTAAGCGGAAATGGCAATGATGAAATGAATTATCGGTCGCAGATGTGATAACCCTTGGAGAATCAATGTCATGGAGTGAAGACCGCATGACCCCCAGACTACATGGAGCGACGATCTGCGCAAGATGGCCTGGACGCGTGTGTCCGAAAATCGTGCATGTAGCGCACCGTAAGGGTGGTCTGTATATCTGTTACTTCACATGCATCTATGTACATCTAATGATGATGAGGATGAGGACATTTTACAATTTTTTAATTATTATGATAGACATAATAACTAAAAAATTGTCTTAACAGTAAATCATTATCGTGTAAGATCTAGGCGATAGGGCCCATTTCTGCCTGGTCCGTGTGGTCACCCCCTATTCATTTTTGTCACCAAGCAGTAGCGAATGAGGGCTAATAATTTTCTGCTCACCTGTTGTCGCTAGTTAATACTGACGCAAAGTTTTTTGTTACATAATGTCATTTAATTGAGAAGTTAGTTTTTAATAAAAGTTTAACAGTTTCTAGAGTATTATATTAATACAGAAAACAATGCCTCAGTGGTTTGCTCTTTAATTTTTTGCACATTTTTAGCTTTTTTAAACAAAATTATACTTTGAATATCTGTGATTTGGTTTATTTATTTTTATTTTTATTAATACAAAATATAACTAATAGTTCAGAAAGAAACATTAACCTCTAGATTTTCCGAAGAAATTAACTTCCCCGCTATGAAATCTCTCAAATATTATACCTCACTTTTAGGTGGCGCCGCCCTGGTGGCGAAAAAAGTCGTAGATTAAAGAGTAATTGACTGCTTTTAGTCAGTGCATTGATTATGAGCCACTGGTAGATATAAATCACTTCATCACAATAATTAAAGGTAACAAGTAACTGAGCCTTTTTAATTTATAGTTGGTTGTAAGTATCTATGGGCTGCGGTAGTTAGGTGAACCATTAGCTCGTTTGTCTCTTATGCCCGAATACAGAAACATCCCTCTACTACTACTACTACTACTACTACTTATACTTATACTTATACTACTACCACTTATCGGATTGTCAAACATTTAAGCAGCTTCTAAACTCTCTCTTCTTTCTTTCTTTATACCTGTCTTTCTTTCTTACTTTCTTTAATAACATGTAAAAATTCGCTGCCGGACGCACACAAATGCACTTAAAATCATGATGTTAGTTGAAAATTTATTACATGCATATGTAACACGTAAGTGCGTGTTATAGCAATAAGTTGAGCAAGGTTTTGGCTTGGTTTCCGCGTCACTCGGAATGAACACAGCGCTCAGACTTTCTTTCTTTGATGGTACCTGAGTAGAGAAGTACCTTTCATTCACAACATTAATAAATTTAACATAAAAATGTGTTTTTCAAAATTTATATAAATTAAACTCAAAATGAAAGTATTGTTAGATTACTTTTCGGCTATTTTTCGGTTATTTTTGATTATTATGGAATATAAGTTTGAAGCATTTCAATTATGAAATAATTGCTATTTATATATACATGGTACGAAAAGTACGAATGTGTCGACTCGACCGGGGAAGGACCACGCTCTCATAGAATACCATCGTAAAATGGCAGCTTAATGCTGATGTGTTTCGTATGGTGATGGTAGAGAACAGTAAAAAGGGTCTCTTTTTACTGGAAATGAGACATTCCATCTCAGTCCTCAGCGATGACAAAGCGTCTGCATTTTAATTCTTAATTGTGGATAAACGCAAGTCTATGAGGCACAGCATCCATTTACCATCAGGCGGACTGTGCTCGTTTGTCACCCTTAATCTATAAAAAAATGAAATGATCCTGCGTAAAACGTATTTAAGTAGCCTAGTATCGTAATTATAGTCAAACAGATTTAAAAAAATAAAGTTAACATACCAAAAACAGAAACAGAAACCTACTAATATACCTACTTCTATTTTTATCAATTCAGTTAAAACTCACATAATATTTATCCGTTAAGTCAATCCGTTAATCCTAAGTTCTTAAGTTAAGTTAATCCGTTTTAGAAACATTTTTTTATAAGTATTTAATAAGAAATAAAAACTTACTATTAATAATAATTTAAAATTAAAAATTTTGTACTGCCGACTTCAATATAAGTTATTAAGAATAACTCAAAAACTTTTTTTTTATAGGAGAGGGGGCAAACGAGCATGCGGCTCACCTGATGGTAAGTGACTACCGCCGCCAATGAATAACTGCAACACCAGGGGAACCAGGGGAATTGCAGATGCGTTGCCGGCCTTTTAAAAAGGAGTAGGCTCTTTTCTTGAAGGTCCCTAAGTCGTATCGGTCCGGAAAAATCGCTGATGGTAACCGATTCCACAAGGAAGGCGTGCGAGGAAGAAAACATCTTCTAAATCGCACAGTGGTGGATCGCCAATCATCCAGATGGTGTGGATGGTATCGGGAGTTCTGCCGCGATGTGCGTTCGTGAAATTTGGCGGCTGGGATTAATCCGAACAATTCCTCAGAGCACTACCCGTGGTAAATGCGAAAGAAAATGCAAAGGGATGCAACATCTCTTCGCAGTGCCAATGAATCGAGCCGATCGGAAAGGACTCGGTCGTCGACGATTCGAGCCGCTCTGCGCTGGATGCGGTCAAGTGGAAGGAGCTGGCACTGGGAAGCCCCTGCCCAGAGATAGGAACAGTATTCCATGTGAGGCCGAACCTTGTAAAGTTTCAGGCGGTGTGCCGGCATGAAATACTGTCTCGCTCTGCTGAGCACGCCAAGCTTTTTAGAGGACAATTTGGCCTTCTCTTCCAAGTGACCGTGAAACTGCACGTCACTCGATATGTCGACTCTGAGGATTCCGATACTGGCTGAGGCAAGAAAGGGAGTGCCTTGAAACTGAGGAGATACGACAAAGGGGTTCTTTTTAGCGGTAAACGCGCAAATTTGTGTCTCCTGAGGATTAAACTGGACTAGATTTAGTCGCCCCCAATCCGAGAATTTGTTCAGCAAAGACTCGACTTCAGACATAAGTTTGTTCCGGTCATATAAATCAATAGTTCCGGTACTCGGCGACGTTTTCCCGAGAAATATTGGCACGGCTGGTGTATAGAGCATCACCAGTGCTGTAAACTATTGTGTGTAAACTATTGGTCTGACCTTGATCAAATTCATATGGGACCACACGAGAAGTACCAGCTTTCATATAAAAATAGAATCATTGAAATCGGTTCACCCAGTAAAAAGTTATGAGGTAACACACATAAAAAAAAACTACAGTCGAATTGAGTACCGTCTCCTTTTTGGAAGTAGGCAGAAAATATAATACGGTGACATAAAACTGTACCTGTATTAATGTTCTAATTGATACATTTTAGATATAAAGTAATATTCTAAGCAACACAAGAAACCACGAGAATTACATCCACTTCCTATACATTGGCACAGAATGGAATCAGATCACTGCGGTGACAAGATCTACTCGTAGCTTCGGCTAACCGCATTGTATTGCTGCATATAGTTTTGTTTTGTAACAACATTATGCAACTGCATCATTCACTAATATGTACCCAAATGTAAAAAATCTTATACATTGAATTATATTTATACAGAATTACATTAGGTACGCAAAATGAAAGTTTCGTTAATTATTTAATATACTTATATCATTATTGTTTTATTATTTATTATTAAAAAAATAAAAATAGCAGTGCTTTAAAGCAAAGCACTTACTAACATATCGCTAACGGGAGACTGTGGGTAGAATAAGAATTTACAATAAAACCCATCCTTTTTTTTCATTAAATGTTTGAGATTAGATGAACGGATAAACTAAATCGAACGCCACAAAGCGTGGAATTAGAATTACAGTTAGTATCGAAACACAATACATATATATAGGAATCCAATTTCGATGTCATTACAGACACGAATTTTTGTATTGTAATCAAATTGTAACATTTAAAAATAATCTGATAATGTTTTAACACAGCAATATATTACCGCAATATAACGGCTACATTTGGCATGCTTTATTTATCTGTTTAATTCTTTTTTAGTTGTTATTTATCATTATTGCAGAATGTAGTCAAACTGAAGCTTCCAATTTCGTAAAAAACAAAGTAGAAAAGTAAATAGAGAATGCAGTTTTGTTTATAGTAACAGTCTGTTATGTTTGTAATGAAATTACAATTTGCTTTTGTTTTCCAATTTAAAATAATTAAAAAGTGTTGTTCGCTATGCATAATTATGTAAGTAAATGAATAGGATACATTTTATGTGATGAATAATGTAGAAACACTATTGTAATTAATTTATATTATATAAAATTATATTATAAACAATAATGTAGTACCTGTTTTCGAGGCAAGAAATTCTGAGATTTTGACAGAGAGATTGACAGACGACGAAGAAAAATTAATAAAAAGTTATAAGTACGAAAAAAAGTATACCTGTAATTTTTTTTAAGTTTACGACTTGTGTTTGATACGGCATCACCTTAAAGCAATAATAAGAAAAAATATACGTCCAAGTGTTTTCATTACGAGTCTAATACTCATCATCATATATATTAAATAGATATGGAATTAAACCAAATCCTTTGTCAAAAGCAAAAGCTGAAAAGATTTTTTAAAGATAATACAATTAACATATCTTATACGTGGTATTATATATTATTAACAATAAAATTCACATTATTGCGAATTTTAAAGAAATATGTCTATCTCTGTATA